TAGACTGGATTATAAAATACAGTCTAAATGTTTTCAGTGATATTGAGATTGCAAATTTGATTTTTGCCTGTTACTTCATGCTACAGATACATGTTATGTATAGACACATTGGGCTATAACATCTTAGTATATATTACAAAGAAACTGTATCCTGCTAGAAATTTTTAAAAAACAGTTTCCTGTGTGAGCTTTTGTCAAGCATACTATATACATTTTTTTTGTTGAGTTAGGATAGGAACTGTTATCATTTCCTTTATAGGGCATGCTTGTAGAGTCTGTTACTATGGCTTGAATTGTATGTCTAAGTGTGTGTAAAGTGTCGCAAGTTTTTTTCTTTGCTCAAATATTTTACCACCTACCACACTAGGCTCTAGAAACAGGCCCTAATTTGTCATACTAAAATAAAAATTAGTAGCTAATCTCAAAATGAAAACTGAAAAATTATTGTACAAATTGTATGTAAAAATCAAGAAAAGTGTTATGAATATTACTCTTGATAATTTAACAATTTCTTTAAATGTCTTAAGCCTTCCAGTATCAAAGTCCTTGGAAATTATTCAGTTTCTAAAATTTAAGGAATTTATTTTTTTATATATATCATAAAAATTGCCATGTTTTTTTGATAACCAAATATTCTTTTCACACTTCAATTGAAGTTGGTTAATTTTATATCATAATTTGGAAATATATTTTTTCTAACTTCTGCATCTGCTTTGAATATGAAGCTTTATATAGATTAGATAATTTATAAATTAATATTGTTCATCCCATCTCAATATAAGTTATTCTGTTTTTATTATGAAGGTACTTTTCTCTTTTTTTTTTTCATTTATAATTAGTTACATTAGATTGTTATTTAGAAAATTAAATCTTTTTAAAATTCTAAATCTTTTTTTCTTGAAGTTTAAATTTTTTATATACAAATCTGATATTTTATGTTCTGTAATTTTGAGATAAGCACATAACGGCTCCAGTCTGCTTGATATGGATGCCACCTAATGCAGCTATCATATCTATTCTGGCAAGTAAGTCAAAACCTATACGTTTGTTACACACCATAAAAGTTGTGTGAACATTTCATCTTAATTGTTTGTTGCTTTTGTTATTACATTTCAGTCAATCCATTTTCCAACCTCTTTTCAGAAGTACAGTCTATATTGAATGATTGACTACCTCTTGTAAAACAAATAAAATGATTTTTTCCTTAACAATTGTACCAACATCTCTTTGAACTTCAGAGTTGCTGTGGTGTACAGATAAAACATTTTCAATTAGGGCCTGCCTGATACATAGTTAACAAGATGGTGACCTAGCTATGGAGTTATCACTTGTCTGATTTCTAACATCTACATCGTTTTGAAAAATTGGTTTTAAAAACTAAAAATTGAAACCTTTGATTCAGCTTAAATAGATGGCTGATGCCATCATACTCTGGTTCAACCAAGAATATATTCTAGTTCTGTTGAATTATATGAGTTCATTTAGATGGAAATAGTGCAGAATAACAAATTTTATTCATAAGATGACTTTATAGCCTACACATGGGGTGAATTAAAGAAGCAGTTGTGTATATATTGTAATTGTATCATTGTCTATTATAGACCATGATTAGTTGAAGATTATTATTAGTGGCATTTGTGATATTTTACCTAGTCAAAAACACTTCTTTGAATTTTCTTCAAAACAACAAAACTGCTGTATTTATTATTGAATTTCCAACAACAGTTTTATTTATGGTATCTACATTTAGGAGTGTAAATTCACTGAAAAAGTAACTCTCACAGAATTTTTAGGCAACCAATATTTGTAGCAGTTATAGCAATTAAGCCTTCCTAGAACATGAGTGAATGAGGACACTTGTTTTGTCCTTAAATTTGTTAATATTTTCATTGAAGGTATTGTGTATGTATGTTCATTAATAATGACATTTCTCATTCAGGAATTAATCTCGGGTAGTGGCTTCAATCCAAAATGGCCTCTTTCTATAAACTGTACTCAACCAGCACCAAACCCTGAAACTGCCAGAGTTCATTCTTTGCATGCTTATATATTTTTTCATAGATATCACATGAATGTTAACAAGATGATGTATTAAATGAAATTACAGATAAGTTTTGCTGACTCTGAATTTTTTTGGCAACCATTTTTTTTGTAAGGAAATCAAAAGTTTTGGGTGGATAGTATTTAACATTACCCCCCCCCCCCCCGCACTATAACCACATAACTTCTAGTGACAAGGCTGATGTTATCTGGGATTTACTTTGTTGTGAACAGTTTAATACACTTTATTAATTTGTTCTCTGATTTTAATATTGTCATGGCCTTCAGCTGATTTAATTTATTGCAACTAATTAACATTTTTAATCAGTCTTTTTTGGCAATTTACTTTGATTTAGATTTAATCAGTAATTTCTTTTTTAGTTTTCTCCTGGATGCACATCTCAAAATAACACCATACATCACTTATCAACTTAACTCATTGGTCACCATAGACCTCTTCAGGGAGGTTATGCGTCTGAACAAGTGGAGGGTCACCTCCACCCTGTTGCTATAGAAAATCAACACCTAAATTTTTACTTGAATTTTAGCTCGAAACATTTTTTCTAGATTAAGAAACTATTGACTGATATTGAAGGCAATTGCCATCAGCACTAATTCTAAATATTTAAAAGAAGAGTTAAAACATAAAAGTGTAACATAACTGAAGACTGGCCATTAAATGTAGCACTAAATGTTGTCTCCTTCCGTGGTAATCTTGATCAAGATTTCATAGGTCACAGTACAAGCTAGAATTGTCCAGTTATCCTGACAATTTGGACAGAAGACACCTCCACCAATGTGTTTAGGTAAGATTTGAAAAAATCCCAATCTAAGGGCTGAAATGTTACAAATCTAAGCCAGCTATGTATCATACTCCAAATTGCTTGTTTACAACTATGTTGATGATAAAACAACAATTGTGTTCATTTGCTCAATCACCTTCTTTTCAAAGGTTGAGGTGGTAATCTGATGATCTATTTTTCTCAACTTCTGCTAAATTCTGCTCTGTCTCCCTCACATTTCTTATGCGTCTTTTTTCTGTCATCCTCTATATACCAAGTAAAGTGCAGCCAGCATTTGTATATAGGACCACCACCTGTTGGCTTATCAATGATATATTGGTAAAATTTGACCATTTATGTTTGCCAATGGACTCCTTTATTCCAGAGAGCATATAGCCAGCTAGCCACTTAATAGTTCAAATAACCTGATTCCTGAAAACTGTTCTTCTTAAGAAACCAATGAAAAAAATTTTATGCAAAAATAATCAAACAGCAAATTGGTCAGTTTTACCAATTTTTTTCTCAAATCTTTCTCTCTTAAGTGCTTTTAAAGATGATTTTTGATTTTGGCCAATTTCTCCCAAGTTGCTGAATATAGAGAATGTACACAGCCATACACAATTATAATAAGTTATCTCCAGGTTTGATTCTCAACCCATCTAATTTCTTGAAATTAATTAACTTTCTTAATTAGTTCTTTTTCCACATTTAATTCCAATAGTCATTAAATGCAATCAAGCCTTCTATCAGTTTTTTCTTGGTTCTATACCATAGAACTGAGTCTTCCAACATTTAAATGTCAACTGCTGCCAAGTTTCCTTGAAACTCTAATTACTCCTTAGAAATGCATCATCATCCACCTTATCCAAAAAGCAGTACCCTTCATATAAATTCTGAAATGGAAAGTAAGAGGATGAATTTTTTTTATATACAATGTAGCTACAATAAGGTTATGTAACAGCAATGGCTGAATGACTCAAAAAGATTTTAGATTTTTCAACATCAGGTGGTTTTCAATCTTGGCAATCTCTTTAATAAATTTGATCTTCCATAAAAAATGTAAATGTATATATAACAACTTATATGAATGTGAGAGAGGGGGAATAGAACAACCAATTTCTGTTAGCCAGATCAGAGGAAGATAATGCAGTATTCAAAATTGAAAGTAGAAAAGTCTGGTTTTGCAGACTATATCTAAAATGAATTTTTTAAATAAGCTCCAAGTAAACTGTAAGGAGCATTGCTGCAGAGCAAGAAAATATCAGGTCAGTGTTGATTTATTTGTTTAGCAATGAAGGAATTAGTGAGAAATAGAATTGCTTTTGTTATAATTTTCTGTCAATGGTTTTCTATTATATATGGACTTTTTTCTGCATGCTACCATTTTCAGGTTTACACTACTGTGAAGACTGACCCTTATTTTTTGTTCAAATAGGAATTCTACATCCAAAGAAGGCCATAGAATGGATTTGAGGTAACAGCAAAAACCGCAAAAAATGAGTTCAATAATTCAGTTCTTGTTCTGATGTTTTAATTCTCAGTCATTTTTATAATTAAGAACTTTTTTTTTCTTGCAAAATTTAAATGTATTTTATTGTTTCTCAGTGTGAAGTTTTAATATGTATTCTGTATTGGTAGTATTTGAATTATGAATGCAATCAAACTATTGATATTAAATTGAATTGTTTATGACTGTAATCAATTTATCATGTTTCAGTGTTTTGAGCTGTTTGTCTTATTGAAATATAATTGTTTTAACAAGTTGACTTTATTTTTAAAATATGAATAAACTTTGTTTAACAATCATAGAACATGGTTGAACAACTTATAACAATTACATTAATGAAATTGTTTTGTTTTTGTCTTGTCTTTGTCAGTTTGTTTGCTTTAGTTTGAGTGGTTGATAGAAAAGCATTGCACCAGAAAAGCACTTTCCATTTAGAGCTTATTGCATATTGTCTGCTCCATGTTTTTTTTATATGTTGTGTTGTTTTGTCTGTTTCCATTGCTTTTTATGTGAACCCTTTAACATATATCCTCTCTCCCATCCCTTCCTTCTCCCTTCCGCCTACTGAATGAGGAATGGCTGTCGGCCTTCCTTGCAGGGGTGCGTGCCAGCATGGCTGCTGTTTTGTTTTCACACTTGCTTGACACTCGTGGAAATGATTTTCTCCTCAGGTCTTTCCTCTTCAGACAAGTACTTGAAACTGGGTAGCATGCTGGATGACAGCGGACACCAGCCATTTGGAGGGTCCAGCAGTGGCAAGAAAACAAAGAAAACAAAGCGAAAGAAGAAAGGTCGGAAAGGACAGCAGTATTCTGACACTGATGAGGAAGATGAAATTGATGCAAGCTTACCTGCTGCAGTCAGCACTGTAATGGACATGCCAGAAGTAAGAAATTACAATTTCATATACATGTACAAGACATAAGACTTGCACTGTCAACATAGCCACTTGTAAAACTTAAGAAATATTGTTGTCACTAATATTGGATACTAGTAAAATATTAAAATTTAACAATATCATTTTTTTTTTTTTTTTTTTATCAGTATTAACAAAATGAAAATAACATGTTTTAATTAAGAACTGGAATTCATCTTACGGTATTTTTTGCTTCACTGTTACTTTCTAAATCAGTTCTAACTAGTGATATTAAACTTCTTTAAAAATGCTCTCTTTCTACATGAAAATTATTTCATGCCATAAACAAAACAAATACTTGTTGCTGAATCATCATAGATGTTGTTGATTACTTTTTTTGTATTTCTGTATTGTTTATTTGTCACCCTCAATCCCCCCCCCCAGCTGTCCAAGATGGCCAACACCTGCGGCTGATCAAATAGGTGATTGCTTCAATCCAGGCCTTGCCTTATCTCACTATGTGATTTTCTTTGATCATAAGGCAGGCCAAGATCAAATCGTCATCAGGTATTTTCGTATTGGGCTGGTCTGAGTGGGGTGAAAATACAAAGAAAAAAAATATAACACTTGAATAAAAAAATAAATACTATTTTTATATAAGGTCCTTTGTACAACAGTTACTTAATTGTTGTTAAAGTCTAGGAGTTCGCATGCAGACAATTATTGACCCAACCCATTCAAGTCAGAAGTTTGTTTTGCTGATTTGGTGAAATTTGGCACAATGCTGATGTAGGAGGTTCTTGTTGACAGATAATCACATGGGGTTGTCTCGTGTCCAGTGGCTGGAACAATCTCTGCTTTTTTGCATTGAGACATTTGTATATATTGACATTTGCCCAAACCGGCAGGTGGAGGGTGTGTACAATGTGGCTGAGCATACAGTATCTTCTCTACCTGTCGTCTTCATTGTCTGGGTTCTGAGAATTAATTACTTCCTAATTTGGGGGTGATGGTCACAGGCATTAACCAGCTCCATAACTTACACCTTATTAACATCTCCCACTAATACTCCTCAGTGGGCATGGGTAGCTCCTCCACCTTCCTTGGTATCTCATCTGTGCCTGCCACCTTGGTCACCCTCCAACCAATGATTGTCGACTGCCTTGGGGTGAAGGCACAAGAAAAGATTAATTCCAAGTTTGTTATCTACACAGAAAATTTTTTTCCACGTCTTTGTCTAAAATTGAAACACAACCCAGATGGCTTTCCATGCCTTTGGGGTCCTGTCAGGGACATTCTCTAAGAAAATTCTTATCTTCAAATTATCATTTTAGATCCTATCCAATTTTCTCTTCTTGTCTTCATGGCCCCTATTTTTAGTTTTGTAATCCATCAAGTGTCAAAATATTTGTCATATCACCTTTCATAGTTGAATGTTGTTTTCTCTGCTAGCCATCTGGTTCTTGGCCTTTTTGAGAAATAAAATCTTCAATCTTTCCCATGGGTGTTTATTGGTATGTCGTTTGGTCTATTCATTAACTCTTATTATTTATTAGGAGTCTATCAGTATATTCATCATTCTTTTTGTATGCTCTTGTATGCTTCCTGTATACTCTTAGATAAATTTGATTACCGGATTAAGAAGAGTAAGTTAATTTTCAGATTCCTAACTAAGCAACATTAGAAACTGAAACTAAAATAATTTTTAATTTAATGCATTTTATTCAAGGACTTTTTTTTTTTTTTTTTTTTTTTTCAATTCATTTAATAATTTAACTAAAAATGTTGGACTAAATTTGTTCATAAATTCATTGCAATTTTTAGGGTGCTCACATATCTGATAAGGATGATGATGACCAGGATGTTGATGATCCACATAGAAAGTTAAACATTAACTTAGATGAGTAAGTATTATTAAATACTATTATATGTATTTTGGCAGTCAGCATGTTTAAATTATTTCTCATTGACTTCAATTCTAACAGTTACTTTCAGATATAATTTAATATTATTCCACATTAAAGAATTTATTTATACCAGGCATGTCAAACTCTGGGCCTATGGAGGGCTGCATCAGCTATATCTGTAGCCTCGAGGGCCACACTTGCATTAATCACAGCTAGTGGTAACTAAACTTTAAATACAAAATACTTACGATACAAGGTAGTACAATTTAATCATTTTTATGTTGTCCTGATGATTGACATTGCTTTAAACAAAACTATTCTTGATATATCAGGTTGGAATGTCTGTTTAGATCCCACTTTGATCAAAGATGACAAATGTTCAGTTAATCTGGTTCTGTAAGATGTTTTTGTGGCCTTCATAAATGAAAATAACTGCTCACAGACATGTGGAATCAAACATCGCCATAATCTTTGTGGTAAACTTTTTTAAGTTTTTAAATGCCTGAGGAAGGTATGAAAATAATCTGGTTACCCCTACTTCTAGGTACTTTCCCTTGAGTGTTGTGTCAATCTGCATTTCAAGTAATTCTATCTGTAGACTTTCCTCTGCCTGAGCAACATCAGAAGTGAATGGTGCTAAGAATAATGCAAATGGATTTTCACAAGATGAAAAATCACAAAATCTTCTCTGAAATTCCTTTGACAGCAAATCCAGGTAATTGCTGTACTTAGCAAAGATAAATACAGACTCAGTATTGGCAGTTTTTTTCAACTCCTTGCACATAGAAAACTGAATCAAGTTTTCATGTGACAACTGGGACTTCAATAAAGTTAATTTAGCAATGAAACACTTGATATCATGAGTGATGAGCTTATTTTTACCTTGTAAGTTCGAATTAAGGTCACTTAATTAGGCAGTAATATTCACTAAAAAAAACTAAATCTTGGAGCCAGCTTTCATCTTTAAATTCATCTGTGCTTTGACCCTTCATCTTCAAAAACATAATTTCATGTCGCAATAAAAAAAAAAAATCTTTTCAGTACCTTGTGACATAAAAGCCACTGAACTTCTGTATAGAATGGGACATTTGTGAACTGATTATTTACATCTTCCAATAACTGGCTAAACTGACAGTGATGCAGAGCATGAACTCTGATATAGTTCACCGTTTTTGTGACAAAACTCAACACATGATCTAATTTTAAAATCTTGGAACATAAGTTCTATTAATGAATTATACAGGTAAAATGCTTAAATGTTGAATCTGGATATGTTTTCTATTTTTGTACCTAACTTGGCAGCAACACCATTATGTCTCCCAACCATATTGGCAGCACCATCAGTAGATAAACACACAAGTTTACTCAATTAAAGGCCATACTCATGGAGAAGCTGTTCAACTTTCTCAACTTGGCTTGTTGTAATATCATGCATTGAAACCAGTTCAATTAGTTCTTCATACATTTGAAATTCATTGTCACAAGTCTTGATGAAAATGGCGAGATGTGCTATTCCAGCTATGTCAACAGTCTCATCCAGAGCAATAGAAAAATGTTCAAAACTTGATGATAAAATCTTCAACTGTCAACTCAAATCATCTGCCATTTCATCAATCTGTTCAGCAACAGTATTCCTGCTTAATGGAATGTCTTGAAATAATTGTGACTTCTCTGGACATACAATTTCAGCTGTTTTTACAAGACATTGCAGAGTTCAAAGCTTGCAATAACAGAACTAATGTTGCCTTTCTGAATTTTTGTAAAGCAACTCTGTTGCTGTGTTAACTTAACCTTGAATTCCTTCACTTTTGAAACCCGCATATCTCCTTCTTTAGATTGATGGTATGTTTCATAATGTCTTTTTGCATTATATTCTTTTGGCATCACAATGCAGTGGTTGCAAATCAAACAGTTCATCTTTCCATTAACAGTGGTACAAAAGTACTGCAATTCTCACTTTTCTTGAAACCCACGTCCTTCTTCAGATAACTTTCTCTTTTTATGAGATGGAGCAGAATTCAACATTTTTAAGGCAAAATATTACAAAATTATGAACGTTTTCACTTTACATTTGTTCTGATGTAGTTATCAAGGATGACCACATGTCTAAACGGAAGTTAAAAATAGTTGCTGACATTCAAAAACAAAAATACGTCAAGATAGAATAAACAATCAATAATAATCATACCAATTGAAAAATAATCTCACTGTTTTTAATAATTTGCATTACCAACATAAACAAAATTCTCAATGTACCACAGCTCTAGAAACCTTTGTGAGGGCCACCAAGATGCATGTAAATTGGAGGCAATTTGTAAGTAATACTGAATATGAATACTAAAAGATTTCTTTTTTTTTTTCTTAATCAACATTTTCAAATAAATCGTCAATAAAACCAATATTTTTTGGAATGTATTATATTATTCTATTGGCAGTGGGTTGGGAAAGTATCCAACCATTTAATATTAACACAAACTCCTCTTGGGACTACCACACGCTTATCCTCCTACTTTTCAAAATAGTCTGCAAAGTCCTTTTATTTTTTATCATCTTCAGCTTTAATCCTTAATCTCTGTTTTGGTTTGAAACCTTTTCAAAAGTTATGTTGAGTTGGCAGATTTGAAGGACATGTTATTTTGCAAAAAAAAAAAAAAAAAAAGTATAAATAAAAAAAGGAAACTACAAAAAATATTGTGAATATGATGATTACAGAATGCATAAGCAAACTCGGTGGAGTCTCACTGCCAACTCAGTAACCCCACTGGGGAATGTCTATTCACACATGCACTGATTGGTTATCAAGTTACATGAAGGCTGCACAACTAGTTATCAAGCTATTCAAAATGGCTAGATACCCTTTGGACAGACCTTATACTATTTAAAATGTCTCAGTATATCAAGTCTAGAACATGTATAAACAATTTTCTTCTTGCTGTCATTGTTAGATAACTGTTTCTTTTTTCCCCTTTTTATAGAAGAACTTGTTCATTTTTATGTGCAGAAGCTTATGATTTTATCAAAGTATTTTGCTGATCTCATTTATTGAAATTATTCTGGTGACAGTACACTCTGTGATTACATATAGACCATTTGCACACCATTACAGTAAATGGTGAAATGTGAAGTAATTATACACTAAACTTAGCTTATTTTGGCATGCATCTAGACTAGTGGGACCCCAGGTATTAAACTGAAAGACTAGCTTAGTAAGCAATGTTTTTTACAGGCACCCTAGTGAAATATGAAGTCTTTTATATGAATACATATCTATGGTAGAAATTTGTTTATCATTTTAAAGAATGTTAAAAAACAAAGACATTGTTGACGCATAGCAATGCGTCAACAATGTCTTTGTTTCACTAACTTAAAATTATTGCAGAAAAGTATTTAATCTTAATGATTTTTATTGGATAACAAAATAAATAAATATAATTTTCATACAATCATTTCAATTTTTATATATGTCAATTTTTGCAGGCCATTGCGAGATGATGAAAAATTACCAGTTCGAACACACCATGTAGTGTTGGAATCTTATAAATTAGATGAAATTGGAACTGATCCACTGGAAATGGAGAGATCTAAGAAGAAAACTAAAAAAGAAAAGGATAAAATTAAGAAGAAAAAGAAGGTTACAATTAATTTCTGGCCATTTTCAATAACTTTTATATAAAATTTTCAAATTACCTGTCTGTTCTGAAGCTTATTATGATTTAATGTTTTTTATTGTTTTTTTTTTTGTTTTTTTTTTAATATATTGATTAGTAATGAATTTTTAATAAATTTTTTTAGGAGAAGAAGGAAAAGAAAAAAGATAAAAATTCTACTGCTGTTAGCTCATTGCTTGGTGGTGGTGGTGGTGAATTAAATGGTGAAGCTAACACTGATGAGAACAATGGCAACATGTCTGCTTTAAAACTCCAGTTACCCAAAGAAGACCCTCAAGCACAGGTACAGCTTGTTTAATTGTGTGCTTAACAACATCTTTAATTTTAAAATCATACTTTATAAATTTATAGATGCATTTAAATACTTAATCATGAAAAATTATGACATGAGAATTTTTATTAAAAGAACAAAAACAGAAAAATAAAACTTACTGTTAGCAATATTTGTATCATATTTTTGCTTTATCATTAAAAACACACTTTGTCTAATGTAATCATTGCAAAATTTCTACAGAAAAATTAGGGTCACATACATTACTCATTACATATTAAGTTAAAATTATTTCAGATATTCATAACTTTAGTTATTTGCTCATTGTTTGAAATTTTCTTTTCTTTATTTATTTATTTTCATCTTCCAGCATGAAGACTTAGAGTTCTGGTTATCAGCAGGTGACACAGTTGTCCAAGCTCGCCCTCAAAAAAATGTTCAGATTAAAGTGGATACAAATAATGCTGCTGGGGGCACTACTCTGGCTACAGTTTCTGATGCTGATACTGGTGTCCCTACACTTGTTAATGACAATGCACGTTTGGCTAGTGAGGTGAGTTAGTCAACAAATTCTATGAAAATCATTACATATCATTCATATAAAATTTAAAACATGAATGAATATCAATATATGAAAATATATTAATGATGATATCAGTATTTCAGAAAATATTTAAATACCATTTTGTTTTAAAATCTTAAACTTCAATATGGAAGCATGAAACTAAAACCATATGAAAAACTTGATAATTTTATAACAATTCAATAAATAACTTAAAAATATAAGTTATTAATTAATGTCCTTGTTTCCAGAAGCAAAAGAAGAAGAAAGAAAAGAAGCCAAAAGAAAGAAAAAAAGAAAAGAAAAAGAAAAATGAAGAACAAAAAAACCGTAGTGAATATGAAGAAGCAGAAGGTGTTGCTACTCCATCAAAAGAATACCTACCTCCATCACAAGAAACCCTAATGGAAGTACAGCATCCAGTAAATAACATTTTATTTGATTTGAACAAAACCTGAAATCTTGAATAATTATTGAAGTTTGTTGGAATAATTAGAAATTACATTTTTTTTATTTTTGATAATTTAAAGTTATTTTTTAAATTTTATTATTACAGACAGCTTTATTTGTCACTTTTAATGGCCATCTTGTAAAAAAAAAAAATGAAGAGGTAAAAACTAGATATTGTAACTAATTATTTAAGCTATAATTTTAACTGAGAAAATTTGAAGTTTGATTTTTAATAACTAAATTTCTCATGTATCAGATGAATACATATAATTATCTTTATATCTTCTATTCTGTATCTTCTAAACAATTTTGCTATTGAAATTGTTAGCAATTAAAACTTTCTTTTGGTCAATATCCAATTGGACGATTTTATAATGAACTCAAAATTAACTTTTTATTTCATTAGTTAAAAACTAGCTTACAACTGATTTAGAGCATATGCAAAGAGACAACATTCGTTTAAAACAAAAAATGATTCACAATGTTTTTTTTTTTTTAATTTTATAATTTCATTATAGAATAAATTAAGACTAGCTATTAAATTTAGAAATATTATTTGAAAAGATTTTTGGAGATTATTTATATGTACAAAAATTAACTGATTATGCTCATGAGATATTAAAATATCCTTTTATATTTCATGTTTTTTTTTTAATTTCATGATCTTATGACAATTATTATATAATTAAATTGTTTCATTTTATGCTAAACATGTTTTTGTTTTTTTTGCAGCCCATGTCTACTTATCAATTATTAGCTACAAATGATAACCTGAAAATGGTATGAATGTTATATTTTCTTGAAAACATTTAAGATTGCAATTATTGAATGGCCAAAAAATTCATTCAGTTTAAGTAAAAATAAGACAAATTTTTAATTTTATCAAGCAACATATTTGCCACTTTTGTTCCACTATTTTTCAGGAAACTTCATAATTTCATTGTGGAGATAAAAGATAAGTTTTATTAAGAGAATTCTGTAAATACTGGAATGAATTGTAATTCATAGGTGCAATATCTGATGAATACAGCAGATAAGTGAAAACTGTTCAACTAAACAATAACAATTTTTGCCTGGTCAACAAAGAAATATCTTGTCTAGTGTTATCCTGATGGAATATAAAGCTTTTTGTAATAATTCTAGGTAGATGACTCTTGTCCATCTATTTGCTGATCAAATAGATAGCACCTTTCTTCAAATCAGTTGTTCACTATATGGACCAGGCATGTCAAACTGAAGATCCCCTGAGGGCCACATGACAACCAATTGTGCACAGTACAACTAATTTGAGTCATTTAATAAAATTTATTGCAGAATATTTTCGTTACTTAAATTTAGAAACACAATGTGCATACAAATGTTTTAGCAGGATTCATGTATACAAAGTAATGAACTAGGTAAAAAAATTTTTAAATTAAACAACATATACTTGCAACAACAAATACATTGTACAAAAATTACAACAGTTCATTTATTTGCCACTATTCAGTCAGTTTTAGTTTTTTGTCTTGAAGCTTGACAGTTCTTTTTGCTAAGAATTTTTGGTATGTCTGGCTGAAATGTCTATGCAGTTCCAATTTTGATTAGAGATGACAAATGTTGATCAGTTAGCCTTGCTCTCTGAGAAGTCTTTGTTGATTTCTTGAAGGAAAATAACTGTTCAGACACATAAGTAGAACCAAACATTGCCATAATCTTTGTGGCAAACTTTCCAAAGTTTTTAAACTTTTCAGGAAGATATGAAAAGAATCCAGGTATTCCTACTTCAAGATACTTTGCTCTATGTGTAGAATCCACCTGCATTTCTAGTAGTTCCATCTGCAGGGTTTCTTCTGTCTTGGCAAACATCAAAGGTGAATGGTGCCGAAAATAATGCAAAATGATGTTCAAAAGATGAGAAATCACTAAATCTTTACTGAAATTCCAGGTGGCTGTCATACATAGCAAAGCTAAGTACAGTCTTGATATTGGCAGTGTTTTTTAGCTATTTTAAGCTTAGTTTTGTAATGAAGTACTTGATGTCATCATTCAACTGAGTGATAAGTTTGTTTTTACCTCGTATTTTTAAATTAAGGTCAATTAATTGTGCAGTAATATCCACAGCAAAAGCCAGATTTTAGAGCCAACTTTCATCTTTTATTTCATCATCTGTGTTTTGATCTTTCATCTCCAAAAACAATTATTTCTTGTCTCAACAAATAGAATCTTTTCAGCACTTTGTGACATGACAACCAGCAAGTATCTGTGTAAAATGGAACATCAGTGAACTGATTATCCATATCTTCTAGCAACTGACTGAACTAACAGTGTTTGAGAGCATAGCCTTTGATATAATTCACTGTCTTTGTGATCAAGCTAATCACATGATCCAGTTTTAAAATCTTTGAGCACAAATTTTGCTGATGAATAATACAGTGAAAATGTGCAAATGATGAATCTGGATGCGAGTTTTCTAGTTTTCTTTGTAACTAGGCAGCGACACCATTGTTTGCCAACCATATTCATAGCACCAGTAGTAGATAACCATGCAAGTTTACTCAAATCAAAACTATACTCATGCAGAACCTGCTCAACTCTCTCAAAGATGTCCTGGCTTGTAATGTCATTCATATAAACAAGTTCAATCAGTTCTTCATAAATATTAAATTCACTGTTATAATCCCTGATGAAGATTGCAAGCTGTGCTATTACAGTGATATCAACAGTCTCATAAATAACAATAAAAAAAATGTTCAAACCTTGATGATACAGCCTTCAACTGTTGTTTCAAATCACCTGACATTTCATCAATCTGTTCAGCAACAGTGTTCCTGGTTAATGAAATGTCTTTGAATAAGTGTGCTTTCTCTGAACATACAATGTTGGCTGTTTTTACAAGACATTACTTTACAAAATCTCCTTCACTCTAAGATTTCCCACTCATGGCTATCATTCAGCTGAGCTTGCAGTAATGGAAGTGACATTCTGTTTCTGAATGTTTGTAAAAAATGGTCTGTTGTTTTGTCAAGTTAGCCCCTCAATTCCTTGAGTTTTGAAATGCACACTGGTCCCTCAAATTTATTGTAAGATAAATGCTTTGTTTTATAATGTCTTTTCAGGTTGTATCTTTTTGGCATAGTGATGAAATTGTTGCAAATTAAACAATGTTATCTTTTCATTCACCATTGTGCAAAAATACTGTAATTCCCACTTTTTTGAAACACTCACCCTTCTTTGTTCAATTTCATTTTTCTCTTAGCTGGAGAAGCAATAGCCATATTAGGCTTAAGGTAGTAGGAAAAAAAAAAGTAATTTTCCAAATTGATGATGCAGAATCTGAAAAATTACTGGTACATTTAAACTACTACTAACAGTAAAGAAATAAAGCCATTTTGATAATGCCTCTAAAACTATTTTGGCTGACATTTCACTTTTAAAAGCAAAAACTTTTTGAAATCTTGAAAGAAAGTTTTCTGTTTACAACTGTTAATGATCTGCCATATTGTTTTCGTGATGTGGTGGCATGGCTACTACAGAGAATTTGTTCCTGCACTATTTTCTCAGCTACCAAGAATGTTCAATATTTACTACAATTTTAAAAATAGTAGCTTAGTACCATAGTAACTTAAAGTTTTCCGATAATATTAAAATTATTTTAAATTTATGCAGTAAATGTTATGCTATTAAAATAAATCAAAATGTAAAAAAATGTGATTTATTTTCTTAAATACTGTTATTTATAAATTATAAAAACTGCAATTTTGGCTGTTAAATGACCAAATTAGTATCCTTTGTGTGGACCACAAGTATGATTGTAAAGGACTTGCATGCAGCCTGAGAGGCTCATGTTTGACATGCCTGATATAGACAACAACACTCTTTTTGGATAAAGACCAGCTTTTGGTCTGGGTAGTGGCAGTTTATTTTATTTGTTCTTGGATTTTTTACATTCTATTTTCTATATCAACTTCTCATTGCCCATCAAAATTTCTTTCAAAAACAGAAGTTTGTTTACAGTGCAAAATTCACATAAAAATTATGGTCTAGTCAATTTCATGGAAGTCACACATAGTGACTAATAATATCAAGCTAGTGCAAGTAATTTACAAAGCTTGATTTTGATATTTTATGTGTGTTGGTTATCTCCAGCATTATATTCTCAAGTTATGTCTTTATTTGATTGCTATCAACCTTAATTGGCCTATCTGGCTTTGGAATAATATTCAGCAAGAACTCTCCAGCTTTCAATATCATTGATTGACATGTTCAAGTAATTGTGTATATTTTTTATTTTAAGTATATGTCAAAAATATTAATTCCTTCTATCTTCAATGTTAGAATCAACAAAAAATATATAAATTTTAAAAAATTATTTTGAAAATGCATACTGATATGATAGCTCTCTTAATGCCAGCTAACAAAACAAGAAACATGTGCAACTTGAAAACTAAATGTTACTTTTTAGATCATTTTTCATAGATTATGAATATGTTTGTGTTCTGATGCATTTTTTATTTTTAAATGTGACATGAATTATATGCATCCTTTTATATAGAAAAATAATGATGTCATTAAATTTGCTGAAGCACAAAACTAATTTCTTACTTTGTATCTAGTAAATTTTAAATTATTCATTATTGAGTGTAAAACTCTAAGATCATTTGTAATTTTATGTATTTGTATTAAATATTTTTTCTATATTTTTTGTGTGTGTTTCTATGTATACATTACTATACAGAAATGATATAATGTTATACTCATCTAATTTCACTTCATTCTCTTTCTTTCTAGGTTTATGAAACAAGAGTTAGTCACCAACGTAGTGACCAAATTGTGGTATCTGTGATATTTACTAACTTGTCATCAAACCACATCAAAGATATTGAATTCAATGTTCTTGATACTCTCAATACACGTCTAATACGAGGGGTAAGTAAATTTTAAAATTACTCATTATTTCATTGAGAAAAATTTAAAATCCTATGTACTGTTGACTTTTGTAAATTGCTAATTGAAAATATTACTTTATTTGATAATATTATCTATATAAGTATTTTGTTCTCTTGTTTTCACATTTTTAGAGTAAATATTGATGTCATTACAATTAATAATGCAATTTGTATATTAAGACTTGATGCTGCCATGTAGAAATTAATATTCTCAGGAGACAGTTACAGTTTACAAATTTAACAAGATCTCAAAATAGTCTGAGAGAACTTACAAAGATTTCCTGTTGGAATATGCACCAAGATTTTTATCATGTACCTACTATGTTATGGAGTAATTAATAGTCACTCTTAAATTTTGTTTGCAGTTAAAAACTTTTTCATGGTACTATTTAAAAGTTCTTAATGCTGATTTGAAAGTAAATATACATTACTAAAAATTTAGATAGATTCAAATTTAACACATAATATTTGAATCTAGTACACTGTTAATATAGTCAGTAGTTACTTTTATTTGATAAAAATAGAGGTTTTATTTTTAAGCAACAACAGATTAAATCAGTGCATGAAGATTTACTGTTAACTTTGGAAGTTTTTTTTTTTTTTTTTTGTCAAATCTAGAAATCCATCAATATATTTTAGCACAGTTTGAAAGGATGAATTTTAAGGTTAGTTGAAATAAGTAGGCTGTGACAATAGATCATGACAATGGTGACTAAAATATTAAAAGTTAATTTTTTTCCCCCACAATGACTAATGATACCATATGAAAATAGCTTTTGTGTTTTATAAGTGTATTTTAAAGAAATACAAAAAATTGACAGGAATGAGAATATTTTTTAATGCTACATCCCTTCAGTATATATGTGATCATGACTCTCCACAGAGCTGTTTTCTTTATCTGTAAATTACCATGACTTTTTGGGAATGATAGTGAAGTAGCTTCCTTTTAACTTATATTAGTCTATCTCTTAGACTGACTGCCACCCAAGGCTAGAGCCCAGTCTATCCTATTATTTAGCCTGTAGCTGGAGGGAAAAGAAAATGATTCCTGCCTTTCTATGTAACTGAAATTAGTTGTTTAATGTAACTTAGAAACAATCCATATATTTATCAAAAGTAAATCTATATTATGGTGTGTATTATATCATATGCATCAATGTACTATAATCAGAATCTACCAATCTAATACTGCATTTAAATTAAGTCATTGTACCAACAAGGAAAGCTCATCAAAACGATTATGGTGAAAATATTTATAAAAGAAGCAAATGGAAGTTAGGTTACAGTGTTGGGGAAAGTGATTGTAGGCAGGATGCCAGGTCAGGACTGAAAACATTGCTGATTCTTTAGATTTTGTCAAGAATCTCTAGATATAAAATAGAAGCACCAAAGCAGATGTAGCAGCAATATTCAATAAAGATGTAGCAGCAATATTGATGGAAAACTTATGAATGTGAGAGATGGATTCTGGTGAGATTGTCTAGCACAACATAGTAAAGAATTTTTTTATTTGGTAAAAAACCCTATGAGAAAATATAGTTCAAACAAATGATTGAAGTAACATTTAATTTATAAGAGCATCCAACAAAGGCAGACAACACAAGCTGAGTTTAAAAAACAGACGATAAATTTATTAACACACAAAAATGAAAGAATTATGCAAATTAAGTGCTTTGTGTGCCAAGTGATGGCCAACAGCATGTATGTAAAATAATGAAATATGCCTCCTTTACTATAAAATTTACAATGTTGCATAAGGTCCTCAGAAACGGTAAACAACATAAAAATAAATGAAGAAAGGGGAAAATACTTCTCTGAAAGAATAGGTACAATTTTTGAATCAAAGTCCATGGTAACAGTCAAGAATAGAACATTCACACCAACTGAAAAATTTTCTTTCATGTAGGAGCGACTTTGATGTTCCTTTCAATTCTTGTCTGGTGGTTGTCAAATTCCTTCTGTGTTGTTTTTCTTCTTTGACCTAAGTGACCTGGGTTCATGCAGCAGCTGCTGACTCCTCCAATTCAATTCCTGGCCCTCTATTTATTCATCCAGATAGGCCCCAGATTCATATATCAGAATTTGTAGGGAAACCTTTTGAAACCAAATGAAAAACAAACACAGCTATTTTCCCACAAATTGAAATATACCAAAAATATTTTTGAAATTCAAAAGTTTAAGCAAGAACCTAATGCATTGTCTGTTTTCTGTCAGAAAAGAAGATGATATACACTCGAGCAGCTTAACTTCTTATAATAGTGAACAAATTTTTCTTGTAGAAGTCTTCCATTTCATATTAGTGGAAACATAAGACGAATAAGGTGCAATAATTTGATCTGCTGGTTAGAATCAGCTATGCTGTTGGAAAACAAAAAATGTTCTGTTACATGATGAATATAGAGAGCATTTCACTTTTAGAGGTGTTAAAATTAACAAGCCACCTCTTGCCCAAGTTAACAACAGATTGTAGACCATCTTGGAGATCAGCTGCCAATTTGATTTTATTGAACATATTAAGAAAGGAATAAATAGTTGTCATCAACATAGATACCACTTCAGGAACTGTTGACATCAGAAATGTTGTTGATGAAAAATTAATCCAGAAATACCATAACTCTTCAACTTGTGAAGAAGACCAGCATACCAAACCTTGTAATTCCAGAATTATTTCTTGATTTTTGATTGGTTCACAGATGTGACTTGTGAGTTATATTTTTTTTTATTTTCTCTATTGCTACAATCTATGGATGCAGTTATGTGCATGTCATACAGTTGAAACTCAACTTCTCATTGGAGAAGTCAGGCAAAGTGGCTCCTGCTGAATCAAGAGTAGAATTGGAAGGGAATTTGCAGGCAAAATATTCTGCTTTATTGGCAGAAAATGATAGAAAAGGGAGATTTAGGATTACACTTACTTGACACACTCTTACAGAGCCACTAAAAAACAATGTACCGTTTCATATGTCGGTAGTTGCTCTAGCTGCACTGCACTTGTGATTTTGAACTTATTGCCTTTCTAACAACCATCATCTTACACCATCTAATTATTTTATTAATTTAAAAATTACTTGACTGGTATATATATTTTACTGTTCAGAAATTTTTCAATATCCTAGAATCCAGATTTTTTTAGCATTGTTGAAAACGTGTATAGGGGGAACTGTTAAAATTTAATAATTATTTTAAACCAAGTACACAGATTGTGTGTTAATGCTTTGACCAAGTATATGTCCATATAAGTGAAAGTCAATTTAATTATAAAAACATTTTTTGTAAGATTTCTATTCTTTTTTTATTTAATATAAACCCTGATGTATTTAATTTTTCTTGTATCTTGTACTAATGTAATCCTTTAATTAATTGTTAATAAATTGACATAATGCATTTCTTTTTCCTTTTTAGTTTGGTTTAACTCAGCATGATCCAGTCAAAGTTCCATTCATCTTACTTCCAAACAGCCAAAATGAAGGCCAGTTTGCATTTAGTGTACAGAGTATTACAATGCCTCAGAAACTGAAAGGCACACTCACTTACATAATGAAAGTAAGTTTGTTATTTCTAATTAATAGGAAAGCTTTAGAAGATTTAAAGATAATTATAGTTTCCAAAGAAGGATCAGAAATTTCTAAAATCATTGAATAATCTCTACTTTTTAGATTTTGTTTTTGTAAATCCATTTCAGAAAATAAAATATTTTCTATTAGAGGATATCCAAGTCGCCATTAAAAAGGAATTATCAAAATATTTTAAACTGATAAAGAACTTTTCAAAACGTCATTGTATTAGATTATAGATTGTTACTTCTGTGCTATACATATTTAAAATTGTATTGAATTAAAGATGGACAAACATGTTCTTCAAAAAATCTTCATAGGAATAATATTTTGTTCTTTTAATTTTGTATTGTTTTCTATTTGTTAGACTGCTGATGGATCTACACATGAAAAACTTGACTTCAAAGTCTGCTTGCCTTGTTGTGCTTATCTTGTTGGCACTCAGTGTAAAGGGTAAGTTGAAAGTTTTGACTTTCTGCTAAAAGCAGCTGTTTTAATTAGTTTATAGTTTGGGATCTTGACACTTTCACAAATTCAGAAAAATTTCAGTCTCACTCAGTTTTGTCATTTTCATATTTTTCTTTCAATATTTGAGTTCTGTTCAATGTATAAATTTATCGTGTTGCTAAAATAAAAAAAAAATCTGATCTGTGAATTCTTGTTTAAAAAAGAAACATTTTTATGACTAATGCCTCTCTTGTAGCACTATCTGTTATTTTGGTATTTTTACCAGACTTTTATCCTTAAAATAGAACAAAACTTTTCAAAAGAAAATTAGGAAAGATTAGCCAGAAAGAATTATCTAATCTTTGTACTAGAAGCTCATAGATAATAATAAAAGAATAATATTTCCTGAGATATGATTTGGGTTAGGAGAGAGAAAAGTTGTGATATAAAAGCTGAGATGATGATGATCTATGAGTAATACATGTCAGTATATTTTATATGAGAAGATTTTGGGAAGCTGGTTGAAAGGTGTAAATGCTCAGATTTATCTATAACGTTATACTTGAAAATATTAGGTCTGAAAAAGCCGTTTTTGCGTTCTCAATCTTGCAAGGAGAGAACATCTTCCATGGACCGTCATAATAATAATATACAATAATTTTTATTTATAATATAATTTTCTTTTAGAATTCTAATAATCTTTTGCATTAGATTTCAACTCTCTAAATTGATTGTATGCTGTTTTTTATAGACATTAAATTTTGCCTTTGATTTTTGCGCAAAATGTAAAAAATAATTTTTTGTGATTATTTACCTTCAAAGTTGTAATTTTTTCCAGCCAGTTTGGTCTCAAAAGTGACACTGAAGAATTACCTATCAAACAAAAAAAATTATTGAAATCAGATGAAAACTGTGGCAACGCCTAAACATCTGATCACACACACACACATTTTGAGAATTATAGATATAGATTACTATATTTTTTCCAAGCATCAAGATCATTTACTGGTAAGAACTTCTCTAACATGGTCAAAGAAGCTTTCACTGAACTTAATTTCAATCAATTCTTTAGAAAGAGAATTAATGGCTGAACGTCAAGCCAGAATCTTCTCAAGTGGTTAAGAAAGACTTCTTTGATAAAATAATATTTTAAATTTATTTTGCTTAAGCCATTCTGTTAGGCATTCTATTATTTTATTTGTTTTCTTTGCTTTCTTGGAATTCTGTTGCCATTTTGTCTTGCCATTCAGAATTTTATTAATGTTAAAATGACATTGTTTAAAGGGGAATTATTGAAATTCCACGGTAAGATACAGTGTTTATACCATGTTAAATAATATCAGAAATTGATTTTTTGCCTTCACATTTTTGCCAAAATTAATCTGATTTCTTTTCTATTTAATATTTTCAGGCCTAACTTTGCCTCATTACTCAGCAATGGGGAATTATCTGCAAAAACTAGTACCAAAATTGAGCCAGTTGATACAGAATTTTCACACATATTAGCTAAATTGTGTTTTTACCTTCACTTTACAGGTATGTTATTTAATCATTTTCTGTTTTGGTTTTCTTTATTTTTGTTATAGTGAATAGAAAATATTGACTTTGATTATTGTTGGCAGTAACTTTAGATATTTATTGACTACTAAAATATAAAGTATTTTTCAAATGCTTGTATTTTTATGTATCTAAGTACAAAAAGTTGAAGTTTGTCTTTAATATTTGTATTTTTTAATCAATCATTTAATTAAATTTTGAATTCATATTTAATATTTTTCATACTATAATAAACAAAATTAAACAATTCTGAAATTTTTATAAGCATTGTCATATTTATTATCTAACATTGTCCTCATGCAACTCTTTCAGTTGTTGAACAAGTTGATCATAGTGCATCTCTGTATAGTAGGTCCATCCAAGATCACCATGTCTGCTTGCTTGTTAAATTTCTAGTAAGTAATTTCCTTCTTACAGATAATTCTAAATAAACTGATTTAAGTGATTAATCATGCTTATATTTTTTTTATTTTGCAGTTTTCTTGGAACATTTGAATTACAATGAAAATGTCTTATGCATTTAATTATCTGAACTGTGTAATTGCAAAGACACTCAAAGAATTAAAAAACAAAGTTTAAGACATTGTTTGATTTTAATTATATTCTTCATTTTACATTACTACTAGACAACAACCCTCTTCAGCAACAATGCAAATATCTAGGTTAAATGGTTGATATGTTTTAAGTTGAATCTTCCTTGTGAAACGTTGATACTGTTGGCAGAAACAAAGAGAAGGATCCAAGCATTTGAGAATAAATGCAAGAGAAAACTCCTTGGCATCTTCTATTGGGAACATAAAACCAATGAGCTTGTGTGGAAAATCGTTGAAAGTTTTGTGGGCCACTGGAACCTCTTCTCACCACTGTCAAGCTGAGAAAAATGGCATGGTTTGGACACCCTACAAGGCATGACAGCCTGTGTAAGACCATCATGCAAGGCACCATTGAAGGTGGATGTAGGAGAGGATGCCAACACAAAAAAATGATTAGACAATGTCAAACAATTGACAAGTATGGCTATACTAGAATTGTTGATGGCTGCCGTTGAGAGACTATTGTAGAGGAAATTCAGTGTGGCTTCTGCATTTGGATCCCCACCCCCCATGATTACAAAAGTCAAAGGGATGATGTTGATTTCTTGTTTATAGCTTTATTTGTTGTCTACTGTTTTGTTTTTTTTTAATTTGAAATTATTACTATATTTTCATTGATTTATGCTAAATATGGGTGGGTCATTGTTTGAGTAAACATTAGCACTCAAATATTAAGTTAAGACAAAAGTTTCCAGATTTGCTGGGGAGGTGGCTAAACAATTTTACATATGCACTCTTCGCATATTAAGTTATCAAAGTAATTTTTCTGGTTTTCTATGATTTTACCACACCTTTCATAAAAATTACAAGTGTGTTCCGTGATTGAAATAACTGAGTGTTTGAAGGTAACAGAATACAACACATGTAGGAATCCTCATTGCAGTTCCAGGTTAATTTACTGCATCATATTTGTTGTACAGCAAAATTACTGGTCAACTTTGCCAAGAAAGTCTTTTTTGTTTCAATATACATTAAAAACAAGAGAATTGCTCACAGCATTATACAATCTGAGTTTATTCAACCTACAGTAATTTGTCAAAAAATTCACATTCCACCAAACAAAGAAGTCTAGAATCAATTTAGGTTGAGATATTGGAGCCTGTCTTGGATCTAACCACAACTGTCTTTGTTTTGGATTTTTGTAATAAATCCGTTTTTACATTGACAGGATTGTCTTGTTCAAAAAACTTTTCTTTTTGGGGGAAAAAGAAAAGATAAGTTGTTCGATGTTGTTTTTATATTTATGTGAACTCTTTTTCCCAGCTTAAGAATCTTTTTAAAAGTTTATATAAATGATATACCACATTGAATTGATTGTATAAATGATAAAGAAGTGAGTAAACTTCAGGCACTTTTAAGATTTTCCTAATGTTGTGCAAAAGATAGTGTTGGGAACTTTTGCTTCAATCTAATGTTTTGATCAACAAGTAATCTGATAAAGTTTGCCACAAAAAAGGAATAGAGAGAAATAGTCTTAATTTTTTATGTTACTACCATTGAGTCATATTCAATAGAGATATGTACACACTCATTCTGAAATAATCTGAAAAATCATCCAAATGAATATCTTCAAAAAAAAAAAAAAAAAAATTCACTTTTTCTTTTCATTTAAAATTCTATCCTGTATTTGTTTGCATTACATTTTAATTTTTCTTCTTTTTTTTTTCAGCCTAATAACCAGTTAAATATAGATGCTAAGAGCACAGAGTCTGTGTTACTGTCCAACATAATTGATGACATCAAGAGGACTCTGAGTACAGAAGTGCAATGATATCTGTAAACAAAGAAATATATCATGACCAGGATTGACTGTGAAGATTATTATTATTATTCTAAATGATAACTTTAAAAGAGGAAAAAAAGAAATAAGTAATTAATACAGTTGTTCCTAAAATCAGTCATAACTGCTTTTGATAATGTTTGGAACCAACCATGCCATTTATACATTAAATGTATATTGACATATTTTCTCTTTACCACAGTACCAGGTGCCCACAACTACCACTATCTATAAATCTGACAGTGATATACTGAAAACACATACATACACAATCACAAACCTATTCAAAATTTGTTTTATTTGTTAAGGGAACTGGATGGGCGGAGAAAATAAAGGTGGTTTGAAAACAGAATTGAATATATTCAGTTTTTCACAACAAATAAATGACACTTTTTCATGAATTAACAATACATTTTTTTTTTTTCATTCTGAATGTCATGAACAGCTTTCTTTTGAGGATTTTGTAATTGCCAAAACCATTGGAGTAATAAGGAAAAAAGAGCAAAGTGCTATTTTTTCTTTTCCTTTTAAGTAATTACATCTACATTTGACTGGCCTGTTTTGTTATAACAACCACTAACAATTTTCATTGGTTGTTTCTTGCATTTTTGCTGGAAATCTTTCCTATTTTTATTTTTTTTAAGCAACATGACAAAACTAGCTTTCCTGTGATTTTTTTTTTCTTTTCTATATTCTTGAAAATAATTATGAAAACAAAAAAAAGAATTTAGTTTATTTTCCAACTTTTTTTTTTTTTCAAGGATATAAATTTCGCTCTATTATTAACTGTTACTAATACATTCATAGACAGGGAAATATATTTTGTTTGATTTAAAGACATTTTCTTGAACTGTTATTTAAGAAAATATGGAAAATGATTTGAATCAGTAACTCCTTCTATTCTTTCTATGCTATTAATTTCTATCATAATTTTATATTAAATGGCATCCTTTCATAAAATAGGTACAAGAAGTTGATCTCTTATAAAATTTTTAATAATTTGATTAGTAAAGAATATCAAATATGCAGAGTCTATATTTGTTTCATGCAAAAATACCTAATTTTATCTTTAACACTCGCTATAACATCTGACTTTTTTCCCCAAAATATTTTGATGGGTCCAAACTGTATTTTCTTACACAGAAAATTAAAACAATTCTTTTTAAAAACATTATTTTTTTTTCTTCTGTTTGGGAAATTTTAACCTTTGCAAAGTAAATGTAATTTATGCTTTTTGTGTTCTAAATTATAAGACTAAGTTAAAAAGCATTGCTGGTGAAAGAACACAGCAAAGCAAACTTGTTTTAACACATTCAAGGATTTCAGGTGTTTTGTATCTAACCATTTCTTTTTCTTTAACTACAATATGTGAGTTCATCTGGTGAATGCATTGTTTAAACTGCTGGACAGGTCCAAATCATGGGGCAGGCATATAGGCTTTAAGCAAGTCTTTAATATTTACACTCCCAATTAGCAGTTGTGTACTTGTAAAACCTATATTTACATAATATAAATATCTACTTTTGTACAAAATGATTTAACCCACCACATAACTTGGGATATAATTGATACTGTATCTTTAAATTAAATCATAGGTTTTAATTTATTTTCTTAAAATTTTGCTGTCTGTCCTAATTTTGGTGCTCTTCTAGTATTAATTATATCCTCAATTCAATTTTTATCTCTATAAGTGGAGAAGTGTAGTAGCCCATTATTTCTGTTTAATTGTTAAGATATGATATTATAAACTATTAGTAATTTCTTTATAGCAAGCCTTTTCTGTAACATCCATGACATTCTGTATTTGTATGAATTGATATGATTTTAAAAAGGTAGTTTAATTCATAAACTTCTAAAAGTCATCTTGTGATTAAACTTGCACTTTATCCATAAGCACTTAAACATTTTTAATTTAAAAAGTGCAAACAGTTAAGCTTTTTTTATCTTTGAAGAAAAATATAAATTGTCTAAGATAATTGTAAGTTTACCTTTTTAAGTATTTCATTGGATTATATCTTTTCACAATACATTTTAAATTTAAATATATTTAGGAAAAGGAAGTGCTTGGTAAAGAAAGCAATCTAATAGTGTCTTAAGAATCTTATATAGTTACCATTCATTTATGTGAATATTATGAATTCCTTAAGCATATTGATATGGGTTTAGCAATAAACTATCTCAGAAAATTAAAAAGCAAATGTATCTATTGGTTAAAACAAAATAGCTGTCTTGTTCTTGAATTGATCTACATAAGAGAATGTAGAATTATTAACCCTGTTACCTGGACTAACTTAGAAAATTTCTTTCTCAATTTTGAATACATATGATTGCACTATTTTCTTTTACATAGGATATTTTTTCAGAATTATAATTTTAATTTTCAATTTTTTCATAAATTTGATTCCTAGTCGAATATAACCATCAAACTTCAAAAATAAAGAAAATGGGTTATTTCACTTTAATATTTTAGCAGTATATTTTAACTGATACATATTTCTGAGCAATATAGAGTTTTAATTGATTAAGCATAAAATGTGAAAGTATTTTCATTGGAAACTGTTTCATATAATTTAAACTCTGCTTTTTGCCTTTAAAGTCTCTCCGGAAGGTTATATAAAACCTAAGAAACATTTTATCAATTCTGAACAGTTTCAATTTTATTTTGGATTCATAATTTTTTAACCTCTTGACTTTACTACAATTTCTACAGAAAAAAGTAGGAATTCTTTGAGCATTCTCTTAAAACAATCTTTTGTGCTTGTATATAGTTATGCCTAATGTAGAATCAACTTTATTTCACAAAAGTAATCAAACAGTAAAGTGACCATGATAAATGATTAAATGAAATAAGCTTATTTCTTATTTTTTCCCTCACTGTTCTTAGTTTGCATTTTCTAGATACATCAGTCAATATAAGCACTTGTTTATCAAGAGAAGTTTAAAATATCTACAAGGTTGTTAATTTTAATGGTCTTTTAAATACTAATACTCATTCTTACTATGTATGTAATCTTGATATTTGCTAACATTAGTTTTGTACTCACTCTTGTTTTCTGTAGCAGAAAAGAGTTTAATCACAGAAATATTATTTTTGATATTTTATTCATTTAACTCATTAATGCAAGCATAAGTTAAATCTAGAATTATTTTTGCTTTAAATGTAATTTTTCATTTTAGATTTAAATCTTCTCCATAAATGGTTCCATTCTTCCTCAATTTATTGACAAAAATTTGATAATTTTATTTTTTTATTTTAAAGGAATCTTAAACTTTTAAAGGAATAAAAAAAAAAAATACTGAAGCATTCACCTGTTTTGAAATTTTGCCAGATAGGTCACATTCATGTCTCTATTACTGCTGCTATCTTGATGTTTTTAAACAGTAGGATAGATTGGATAGTGTTTTGTGGCAAATTAATATATCCTTTTTACTATTTCTGTTAATGTTTACTTTGAGGATCACATGTCCATTACTTCTCCCCCCACCACATTTTGTCCACTTACAAAAGAGACAACTTGCTGTATTGTTGGTCAAATGACATCAAGTTATGTAAATACAATTTGTAACAATTAGAAAACAAAAGTTTAACACTTGAACAAATGCATTTGCCACTTCTGTTTGCATTGACATCTGATTTATTTGGTTTTAGTTGAATACAAACTTTCATTAAAAAAAAAAAAAAAAGCCACTAAATAATCAGATTGTGCACATTTTTATTTACAATTTTAAACAACTAATCTTTAGATATTTTTTCTCTTGGTCAAACATACAAAAAAAAAAATAAATCAAAATAAAACTTCAGGCTATGTATATTACATATGCTATAATTTGTTGATTCCATCCTTTGTGGGAGAGAAGGTCCACAAATTATGTGGATGAGATCTGGAGGGTTAGGTTTGTCTTTCCTTCTCCAGTCCCTAAACCCAAACCTTTCAGTATTTCTTTTGAAACTTACCTGCTTTGGTTCATATTGCATGATTAAAACAACACCTGTAATAAGTCCTGTTTAAAATGTATGCACATACAGGTGAACCCATATATACAACTCCTTTTACCACTTTCTAAACTCCTAACAATGTTAATTTGAATCTCCCACCAACTATACTGTCCCTGAAGAACTTTTCTTCCCAATTCTGCTTTGCCATACAAGTAAGTGTATACTAGATCAATACACATACATCCAAATTTATGGTTTGTGGACCATTTTTTGTATCTGAAACTAAGGAATATGGCTGTTTTACTATGAATTTAGATTTTGCTTTATATTTAACGTTGTGTGGGGGAGGGATAGTTAGTCTTTGATAAAATAAATAAATGAACAACTGGTATTTATTATTGCTTAGGAAACTACTTTTGTTAAAATTTGCAATGAACCCGTAATCAAATTTGTGCCACTTTTCCGTTTTGTATCCACAATTTTTGTCAAAATCCTTCAAGTCTCTTCCTTCCTTTACTAGCTTCTTTTTCTTGTACAGTAAATATTACTGTATGTTTTAACTTACTTTCTGTGACTGCCCCTCCTTGTGTCCTCTCCTCCTACTTCGTCCTTAGTTTTTTTTTCTCTTCCTCTTTCCCCTCCTCCAGCATATCTGGCAATCACAGAATCATATCATTAGTACTCTGAAGGGAAACAATTGTAAAATATGGTGTAAATTTCTTGGATTATTGTACAGATATTGGCATAATGAATGAATGAATGTCAGAATTATTCCATCTTGAAATGTATTTTATGAAAATAAAATTATGGAAAGGAACAAAATTTGACTTTTTTATACATTTTATTTGTCATGCCGTTTTAAATACAAGTAATTAGGAGAAAATTGTCCATTGATTGCTCAAGACCATAATCATTAATTTCTTGGTTACCTTTGAAATGGTACTTTTAAATATTCCCTTATTCAATTTTAATTATTCACAAATGGCTTAAAAAACACAAAATTATTGTTAGAAAACAATTTAAGAGCAGTGATTCAAAACTTTTCAATTAGATTATTTAATAAGAAAAGAAAACTTACAAATACATGACTAGACCAACCATAGCAGCTATTGACTTTGAAATATTTATACATTATTTAAAATGTATTATTCATGATAATTAAAAATCTACAGGTTTGCCTGTCAAATTAAGTTTTCAATTCAGTTTATATAAGAATTGAAAGTATCAAAATGAGAAAAGATACAGAATAAATTGGTGGGGGAAACAAAAAAATAAACCTATGAATTCATAGAAAAATGATGACCTTTTTAATACTTTCTATATCTGTCAGATGAAGTAAAAACTGGATCCTTTTTTCTTCATGGCAACTTCTATTATGATAATCCATCTTCTTATGGGACTAATAACCTCTGTGTTCTCGTACCAATGCTGCTAACCGTTCAAAAGCCTAAAGGAAATAAATTATGCAAATATATTAAATATAAAGTAGTGATGTTTCTTCAAATTTCCTTTTTTTTTTTTTTTCTATTCCTCTCAGCTAAGAAAATTGATAATGACACTGTTTTTGAGTTTACTGATAAATTACATCAAAATTCTCCATTGGTTTCTGGAGATGGCCTTTTTATACTTACATTTAAAAGTGAGCTGAGCAATGTACCGCTTAGTAAGATGTTTAGCAGGAAATCAATTGGATATTTAAATGAAATTTCTCTTGAAAGATTATTTTGGATGAATACATTTTCTATCTGAGAGGAAAGAAAAATTTGCCAAGACGTTTAGTATGGAAAGTTTGTGAAATGATCAAATATCTTTTTTCATTTATTGCAAACAAGCTCTCAAAATACTCACCACATAAATGTCCTCAGAAGAACATTGAGAGAAAGCTGCTCTCACATAGGGACATGGATTGTCTGTAGACATGAATGCATTTCCAGGTACAAAGAGGACATCTTTCTCTTGAGCTTTCTCCATGATTAATTTATAAGAATCTTTCACTCCAATAAGTTTCAACCATAAGAACATTCCTCCAGTTGGATCATTCCACTCAGCAATTCCTACAAAAGATGCACTTCTATTTGGATGCAATTTAGAGCCTTACGACAGGGGTAAATTAAATATTTGAAAGGGTTAAAACTCTTCATAACATTTCTACATGCTGGTTAGACATTTAAAATTAGGTTTAAAAGAAAAAATTCTATTACTGATATCAGTCATTGGAAGTGATTTAGAAGACGTAGTCTTGAACAATTTTATTGTAAATGTAAAGACACTGTTTTCAGTAAGCTTTGTCATTAATCTTTAAAAAAAAAAAAAAAATTCAATTTTCCAAAAAATTTAAAATCTCCAGTCTTGTGTTATTAAAAAAAAACTGGGAAATCAATATCAGTTGAATATGCAAAATGAAAATACATTAGAAGGCAATCATACCTTTCAAATCCTATCTTACTTAATAAAATGAAAAAACTAAACTAAATCAAATATGCTTCTTTCCAGAGTTGAGGTGGGTGATAGTTGTCTTACCTTTCAAAGATTTCTCAGCTGCGTCAATAGTTACATCCCTTTGCTGTCTGTAAAATTCAGCTACTTTTAAAACATGAGCCTTGAATCCTTCTAAGCCCCAAAGTTCAATAATTTTGAGGATTACAAACTGTAAAGAAAAATCATGTAGAAACTCATGATTGCAAAAATCAGTAAACTACTGTGACCAAGAGAGAATAAACAGAAATATGATTCAGATGGCATTTAAAAAAAGATTATTATTTTTTAAATTTATTTATTGTATTATTTTGAGTTTCCACTGTCTTTCTTCTCTTTTATAAAGTCAGCAAAATAGGGATGCTGATTTTGTCAGCATAATGATTAGTCACACACACACACAGTAGTAGTAGTAATAGTTCCAATAGTGTTAGCAAACAAATATTTTTTTTTTTTTTTTTTTTTTTTTTTTTAGAAGTCTTCAATTTTTTTTTTTTTTACAAAAGTTAGCAAGTAGATTAAATGTCTGGTTGATGTAACATTGTGTTTTATGTTTCCAGAGAATGACATTAGTGCTGTTATTTGAATGCTCTCCAATAATTTTGCTAGTGTTGACTGTGCAGAGCTCAAGTGGAAAAGACTTAGTTTCTTGTAAAACTGGAATTGTCCGATTAACATTTAATTCCTCAGTTACCAGATGATGATTTTAATGAAATTATCTGCTTAAAAAATTTTTTAAAATAAAAACGTATGTGTACTTTAGTATATGTTTTTTTTTTTTTATATATATATATAGATATTCGGCTATTTTAATTAATGGAAATTTGTCCAACATGATAAACATTTTAAAGAATAAATGTTCTACAAATTTATAAAGTAGTTTATCTTAAGAATTAAAACAAAGAAAAGTCTTTAGTTGAATGTCAATTGAAAAAATTATACAAGACTGCTCTGTTAGAAGAGAATTATCTAGAAATAACAAGGTTATAACATTTTCTAGTTTTGTAAAAGAAAATAAGTAAATTTCAACCCACATTTTGTAACTAAAAGCTGAGAACAAAAGTAGTCCATTTCTCACCTGTGTTAATCCACTGATGTGTAAAACTGATGTTTGCAAATGAAGCACAATTCTATCTAGGATAGCAGCTGGACCAGTTACAAATCCACATCGCATTCTGAAATAAATTCATCTTAAATTTGGAATATTTTCCAGGCTTTTTCAGTTATCTCAGATAAAATTCCTAATGTCTTCATGAAAGTGAAGACAACATTCATATTACAATTTTATTTTTATTTTCTCTATTGGAATAAATTATTTGTTAGATTAATGTGCAAATAATGTGATAATGTTTATTTACAGTTGGACTAATATCCTCATCTTTGTTGTTGTCATATTTTTGGTCTTCTGACCTGATATCTGTCAAACTGGGTAACCTACAGGTAATTTTCGACTCAACTCTAATCTATGGGGGTTGATTTATCTTATTCCACTGTCTGTGTCTAGTATTGTCTTGTTCTTTTTTAGTACTGCTCAGTTATTGCTCATTCTCTTTGCACTGACTACTGGTTATGGATTGACCAGCAGACTCTCAATTTGAATGTGATATACTCAGATGAATATTCAATAACTGAGAGCTACCAATCCAAACTATGCAGAAGAGTGGGACAGGATTTCTTTGGTTGATCTAAAAAAATTGTCATCAGGATCAATCAACTGTAAACAAAACTGAACACATTCGTTAATCATTCCCTGTTCTTATAAAATTTATTCCATTAATATTGATAAATGTCTGATTAAACTGCATTTTTGTGGTTTTAATTTATTTCAGATCACAGACAAAATGATTGTCAAATTTGATAAATGGTCATATTTTTTTACAGAGCAATAGCAGATGTGTTATTTATTATAGAGAATGGTTATTTAAAATCATGAAAAAAAAAATGATACAAAACAGTCCACAAAAATAAAAATTTGTGAGCGATAATTAACTTTTGACCATTTTGCATTTTAAAGAGTACACATTTAAAAGCATAACATTTGTTAAATTAATGCCAGAAGTACTAATTTTCTTATAAATGAGCCAATGTACAGAGTGACAGATAGGAACACAGAGAGAGACAAGATGACAAGATAGGCAAAGTTTTTTTTGTTTTTTTTATCCTTACTTCCTCCTCCAGACTGCTCTTGGTCTCTCCATCCAAATTACTGTTAGGATAATTTTCTAACTGAAATATCAACCTGGCTACATGGAAAGTTTAATAAGTGACAATACCAAGAATACTACGTTTTTGGTAACCCTGGGATAGAGAATGGCAGATCAACAAAACGAAAATGATTAGCAGTGACAGTGTGGCTAGTGGGCATAATGGATTCTTCAAATAAACCTTCATATAAAATACTATTCTTAAAATAACAATAAAAACCTAATATTAAAAATGTACTGCAATGAATTTATATGGTTCAAGTTTTAAATATTTCATCTTTTAGTTCATAAAAATGTTATTAAATTGCCTGGCCTATAACTGATATTGATGTCTTTCATATTGTATATGACAAACATGAAAACCAAACTATTTTTTAAATAGCCAATAAGGACCACAAATGATTTTACTTACCCAGATGAAAGCAGTTTTGAGAAAGAATCAAATCTGACAACTCTACCCTCAACATCTATCGAGAGAAAACTAGGTACATAGTCCTACAAGAGAATCAATAAAAATGTCAAGATTCTAGACAAAATCAAATATAAAGATAGAATAAACCATTATAAACACTGCTTGAACCTTCTTCAGTAAAGTTTGTAAAGTTTTTAATTAACCTATAAGATGTAGTTGCTACAGAATAAGTGTTAAAAACATTTCATTGCTACTTACAATATGTAATGCTTAGCTGTTGGAACTGGGTTGGTGATACTAAATAATTATAATTTACTAAAAGTCTGATATCCAGTTTGGATAAACTACAAAGTTTGTTTTTATTTTACCCACAGATATCTTAGGATAATTTCAAAAGCTCAAACATTGATACGTCATTAACTATCTCTAACAGCTGAGTTGCAAAATTCAGTATAGTAGTTTTTGTTTTTTGTTTTTTATTTCAGATATTTGTATACTGAATTGTCAGTTTTGTATTAGAAAAAAAATATCAATAGATAAAAAATATGAATCCTCTGGTAAATGATTATTTTTGACTGTAAAAAATCCTTGTATTAAATATTTCCTTCCTAAGTGGAAGGAACTATTTAATACTAAACAATTAAAGAAAGGCTTTTGTGGCAAATAATTATAATGGGGAATTAAAAAGTAAATGTAAGAATCAAGTATAGCATTTAAAAGCAAGAAATATGTATTTCTATAGTTGAAAATTATGAGAATTTAACATTTTTTTAGGTAGCCAAAAAGTGTTCAATATATAAGTAGAGCTATGATAGCCATTAAATCAAGAAAAGTTCAAGTGACTTATCTTGTTGACCAATTGAAGAGTTTTGCACTGAAACACTCATCAGGGCCAGATGTTTGATAAATCTATTGAACTTATCAGATTTCATATTTATATTCTTCAAAATGAATGAATGCTAATTCTAACTTTTATATTTCAAATAAAAAAAATATGAAATAAATAAAACTGAATCTATAATTAATTTAAAAAATAAACAATTGATAAATTTGAATATTAAGAATTATATGATACTTAGAATTTTGCAATAACAATATTATACAAAAAAAAAATAAATAAAAGAATCAGGGGAAAGAAAAAATAAATAAATAAAAATCTTGTATATGTAGTGATTTTCCAAGTGCAGCTTAGATGTGGCACAAGGCCGAAATTGGGGGCACCCAGTGAGGATCAAACTCACTAGTCAGTTGTAATTGTTTTAGCGAGCCAAGCTTGCTAATCTTACACCGCCTCGAGGTGTCCAAATGATTTTTCTAAGTGTAACTTAGATGTGGTACAAGGCCGAGAGCGGGGAGCACCCAGTGAGGATCGAACTAACTATTCAGTTGTAACTGTTTTAGCGAGACAAGCTTGCTAACCATTACACCATGCCGAGATGCCCTAAATCTTGTATATGTATACATATATATGTATAGGTTAGTATGTATGTATTTATATTATAAAACAATTTACCTACTCCTAAATTTAAATGTGACATTTCTAATGAAATTCTAATATGGTAAGAATTTGAAAGTTAGAATTATCATTCATTTGTTCCAAAGAGTATAAATATGTTCAATGGATTTATCAAATTTCTGACTCTGATGAGTGTTTTGATGCAAAACTTTTAAGGTGGTCAACCAGATAAGTCATGTGAACATTTCTTGAATTATTGAAAGTTATCACAATTACAAAAACTTATTCAGCACATTTAATACAGTTGTGATCACTTAAAAGAAACCTATTACTATAAAAACAAACCTTTGTGTATTGTATGTAGTAGTAGGGGTCATCTTCAATAATCAATAAATTGTATTTGCAGGCAATGTTATAAATTTCCTTTTTGCGTTCAAAGGTCAGTCCACATCCTGTGGGATTACCTCCTGTGGGGACAGTGTATAAAACTTTGGGGATGTTACTGCAAGGGTTTTTTGCATCTTCTGGTGACCACCGAGACAAGATTTCCTTCAAATGTCCAGGAATTAAGCCATTCCCATCTGTCTTGACATCTAAAATTCGAGGACCAAGAGGTTTCACCTGTTGGAGATAAAATAGCAAAATTAAGAATTTTGTGTAACATTGACATGCAATTTATTACTGATCCTTATGTTAAACATTTACTATAATTTGCATGTGTTGATTTGATTCCTGTAGCAGAGAGAAGAAAAACTGGAGAAAAAGGATATCAAATAGTTATCCAAAAATAACTAATGAAAAAGAAAACTTTGTGTGTGTGTGTGCAGCTATATATAAAATCTGATAATTACTGCATTTGTAGATAAAAATAACACAGATTTCACAGGATTAAAAACAAAACTACAAGTTTTTGGTAATGCAATATTTTTTTCTCTGATTCCATCAAAATTGTTAACTATTTATATTATTTTTCATGTATTTACTCAAAGTATCCACTTTTGCATTTATGAATTTACTTGACTAAGCAATTTAAAAAGAATTTTTGCTTTGAACAATATCTTGAACGCAATATCAATCTCAAAAGTATTCCACAAGTAAAAATTGATTTGTGGACATGGCTCAAATTAAATGATTGTGATATAAGTGGTTCTTGTTATTTATTATTTAATAATTACAGTGAAGATATTATAAACCCCGTATTAATATTAGTTTGATGACATTTTCCATTTCCAATCTGGTTGGAGGGGGTACTGTTTATCTTACTTGACAGTTTACAAATTCTGAGATAAAATGACATTTAATTGTTTCTGTGGGAAAAAAAAGGTAATATTTGAAATAATTTTTAAAAAATACGAATAGTAGCAATAAAAATGTCACAAAAAGTTGCTAAAAATGAATATGTAAAATTAAAACTTGAATTACAAATGGAAAGTTGCCAGTTGTATTGTAATTAAAGTCAAATCAAATGTTAAATGATTTGGGGAGAAATGTTAACCTTGTGTAGGTTTATTATATCAATCAAAATATCTTGGTCAATTTTAAAATATTCTCTAAAAATTATTCTTAGTTTTTTCTTTTACCTGAAAAACTTTGATGCAATGAGTAATTATTGCTCCAGTATGATCTCTTTAAAAAAATATTTTGAAAAGAATATTATGTAAATTTATTTGACACCAAAAATAACAAAAATTCTTTTTTTTAAGAAGTTTTTAGCAATCTTTTTCTTTATGTAAAAATGATCCCCAAATACCAGATTTATAATGTCATGTCTATTATTTTCCTAAATAGAACTAAGATATATAATGATTCACTGACCATAGACATAGTTCCTGAGTAACATGGAGACTCCATCAAAATGTGATCTTGTTCAGTGATCAAAGCATCAAACAACTGAAAAGAGAAAATAGTTAAAAAAAGAAAAAAAGATGCTCATTCTTTTGAACACAATGAAATAAATATTTTTAGACTACACTATGTTAATGGTATACATAAAAAAATATGTGTAGTATTTCTGTTACAAACAATTAAGAATAACCACTCAAATCTACTGCAGCTGAGAATTGCATCAATATAGAAGTTAATGCAAATGCTTAATGCTGAACATGCATTCTGTTCTGCAATCAAAAGAAATCATGTTTTCACTGATATACTTCCATAAATGTTATATTGAAAAAAAGTCTTTAAAATTTTCTTTGTAAATATGATTTAAGAAACTATTAATATTTATTTCAAATAAGGATTTCTACTTTATTTTTTTTTTTGTAGTTACCATATATACTTGAGTATAGAGTGACTTTTTATGATCAGTTTTTTTATGCCAAAAAATAGGGGGTTGACACAGGAAATTTTTTTTGAAAGGTTAAAAATCATGCATTTTTGGTGACCAGTTGCAGTATACACAGGTAATTTTGCGGGGAGTGGGTTAAAATTCATGCATTTTCAGTGACCGTAAATTACTTGGTAGGCCTACATTATCACAGTAACTTTGGCTAAGCTTAACGATAGAGGCAAGCTCCTTTAGCCTGTCTCCAGTAGTTTAGATTTTTTCTTTCTGTTGTTACATAAACAGCAGAATGTCATTCACTTTGTGTGTTGGTTAAAATCTACAAATACTTTATGAAACAAAACCTGCCCACTAAATAGTAGATATATGACCAAATTGTTAGTTTATAAAGCTGGAATCAAATATGACGATGAGGTTAAGTTTTATGTGGTCTCTTCAGAAAACCATTGGAAATTACACTTCTACCACAACAAAATGACACTAGGCAATATCAAATATAGTAACAGCACTGCCCTCTCTAAATTTTTCTGGAAAATGAAAAGCAAGAATAAAGACTCAACTATCATCCATAACGAAAACTAAACCCTTCAGTGGGAAAAGCAACAGATGTTACTTATGTTTTTCTGAAAAACTAATAATCCTAAAAAATATGAACGATCTTAATCTCTTAAACAAAATAAGTAAGTTAATGAGCACCTACCTACCTAGAACCAAATTTCTACTCAAACATGTTGACCCAGATTAATATATTTTAGCCATGCCTGGGGACCACAAAAACTAGTATTAAATTATTTACTTCTATTAATATTTTTATTATATTATTTTTGCTATCCTTACTATACAACTATTGTTATTAGTAGACTGTAATGCATTTAACATTTATGCTAATCTATTATTTTCATTATCTTATTACCATTATTATTGTTTTTATCTTACTTTTACCTTTAGTCTCACTACCAGAAATGTTTTTATTATTATCATTATTATGTTTATTTATTCATTTTTTAATTTTTTTATTTATTTATTTACATATTTATATGTTCTTATTTATGTTTTTTTATTTTATCTTCATTGATATGTATTATTTTTATTAGTATATTAATTTTATTTTACCACTGCATATTTTATTATTTTTATCACTACATTTAAGTTTATTAATATTAATGATATTATTAGTTTCTTTATTTTTTGCATGAAAATCAAGAGTTACTCCCCCTTGATCTCCAGATGTTTTTTTTCCTTTTGATAACATCATGTTTTTAAATTAGAATTTATAATTCTTATTTTCAATCTTAAATGTTAATCTGAGCTGTAATTCAAATCCAAAATTAAACTACAATTCATTCAAATAATTAACAACAATAATAATCCATCCGAACAATAAAATATCTCATGATAACCAGAAATATTAAATAACTGGTGTTAACCCCAAAAATTTGAACCTAAAGATTGCAGTTTGCAATCAATGTAGGGTATTATGTATATTTTTTAATATATTAAATAGCTCTGTTATTTAAAAATTGAGCACTGTTTTTTCTTACACTATAGAATATATATATATATATATATATATATATTTGTATTTGCATACAAAAAGCTTGCTTGTACATTTACCTATATTTATCCATATATATATATATATATATATATATATATATATTTGTATTTGCATTCAAAAGCTTGCTTGTACATTTACCTATATATATATATATATAGACAAAAGGAAAACTTTTCTAAGCTGATGGGTTTCATCCTCTGATTGACTTTATCAAGGCAAATGTAAGGATTTTTATTTTGCAACAAGTACTTATAGACAGAAGTAAAAATGTTAGCTTTTCAGAATTTTTAAATTTAAGAATACTCATAAATATTCTTAAAGTTAAATGAAAATCAAAGTAAATTGTGGAGGATGCTAAGAAATGTAATTTAATGTCTAATAAATGAAAGTGAGTAAATATTATTGTTCAGATCAGGACATAATATTGCATATTGGGAGGGGGGGTATGAAGAATCTTTCCAACAAGCTGGAAAGCAAGAAGCAGCAAAGCATCTATTGTAGAGCTTAGAGTGGATAGAGGCCAGTTCAGACAATTGCAAGGACATCATTAAGTCCACATACTTTGTGAGGATCAAATTTTGCAAGGACAGATTACCCAGGAGAAGAGGTAAGGAACAAAACAAGTAAAGAAGCATGATGTTCAGAATTATTAAAGAAATGAGTAGGGAAATCCACTATTTGACTGTGAAATTAAGCAACGAAAAAGTGAAAATCTGAATATCAATAACATCAGTAGCATTAGAATGATTCAGCCACTTGACATGATGAGCATTAAAATCACCAAACACAAACATGTTCACAGATAAATTGTAGAGAGAGAAAGCAATTTCTATACTGTTAAATATTTTGTTTAATATGTTACAATCCTGAGAAGAAGGAGTGTGATAATGGAGAAAGAGAGTGCAATAAAGAAAGTCAAAAGCACATAGAAGAATTATCTGAGGACAATTTTTTCCAGATATAAAATATATAGTCTTGAATCTTTTCAACAAAGAAAAAAGATAGTCTGGAACAAGCAGAGATAGATGAATTTAAATCACAATGATGTTCACAGCAAAGGAAGCAGGGTGATTTTATTAAGACACCATCTCTAGTAAAGTTGCTAAATAAAGCTCTACACCCCTTTCAGTCATTCCAAAGTGAAGTCCGATTTTGGCAAAATTTATAATCTCTTTTTTGAATGGATATTCACGTAAATGAATTGTCATCTGATATGCCAACTTAATAATAAGAAATAATAGAAAGGAATCAATAAATAAAACAAATAAATAATATATTTAAGAAATAATAGAAAAATAATTAAATGCATATAAGACCAATTTTATTGTTCGTGTTAAAACTGTTTAATAATCAAAATAAGAAATTATACAGAACAAAAAATAAAAATAAACATTAGAAATGGAAATGCTTCTCATCTTTAAAAATGTTACATTAAAACTTTAAAATCGGGGCCACCCCAAGCAAGGCAGTACAGCCACTAACAATCAAGTGGCTACATGGTGTGGAGGAATTTGGAACAGAAACATTAGTAATGAGTAGAAAGAGAAAAGAACAATCAGGAGGACAGTAGATAACAATTGACATTGTGTTTAAACTCTTGCAGATTAAAGTTGGCTGGAAAGCATAGGGACCAGAAGGGAGTCCCAGGTGAGAGGTGTGAGAAAAGAAACTGTCAGCAAAGAAGTTACAGCTACATTTAGCCATCTCAACTGTAAATTGATGAGATCTTGCTGCCAGTCTAATATTGCACTTAAATTCATACAGTCTAGGTACCATAGCTAAAGAGTGCATCTGAACAATTGCCATAAAAGTATTTATAAAAAAGGGACAGAGAGGCAACCTTATGGTGGTGGGCAAGTGACTGAAGCCAAGCTGCAAGGTCAAGACCAATAATATTGCTGATTCTTCTTTGGATCTTATCAAGGAACTTCAGGTAAACAGCAGGGACATCGGACCATATATGACAGCAATATTCTAAGCCTGGGTGAATAGTAGACTTATAGATATTCAAGATACATTCTGGAGAGAAAAATTGTCTCTACCAGCACAGTGAACCAACTTTCTTAGCAGCTGACCTAGCAATGGATTGAATATAGTCTTTCCACTTTATGTCAACTGAGAACATTATGCCTGAGAAAGCTCAATGAGTCCCTTTCCTGGAGGTTAGCATTGGCCATGTGGATGGAAGGCAGAGAGGGGTCTCTCAGATGATTAATGGAGAGAAGTTTAATTTTGGAGGTGTTAAAATTGACAAGCCATCTCATGCCCCAGTTAACAACGGTCTTAAGGTTGTTTTGGACACCAGCTGCCATTCTGACCTTGTCAGACTGATCAGCCTTACAGTAGTGGTAGTGTTGTCAGTGTAGTTGAGGGCAGATGTCATCTGGAAGGTCGTTAATGGAGATTAAAAACAACGCAGCACCAAGAATGGAATCCTGGGAGCAACCAATGTTAGTAAAAAAGAATGTAGACGAGTGGGTGTTCAGAACAACTTTCATTTCATGATTTGATAGGAATGACTGTATCAGCTTAAAAATGCAGCCAGAGATACTGTAACTTTTCAGCTTGTGGAGAAATCCTGAATGCTAGACCCTGTCAAAGGCTTTTGAGATGGCCAATGCTACAGCCCGGGCTTCACTGTTTTTTATCTAGAGCATGATAGACTCTTTCTGCAATTATTGTTAGTACATCAGCAACTGACCTGGAAAAACAAAATCCATATTGGTTGTTCGAGAAAAGGCCTTGCAATGAGAGATGATGAACCAATTCAGCATTGATTAGGGTCTTTATGAGCTTCCCAAAAAGAGGTAGTAATAGGCCGATTGTTGGAAGGGTCAGATGACTCACCAATGTTCTTAAAAACTGGAACAACAGATGATGACTTCCAGCAGGCAGCAAAGCAGGAGGCAACGAGGCATTTATTATACAGTTTAGAGAGAACAGGAACTAGTTCAGGAGCACACTTCTTAATGACTATTGCAGGGATACCATTAGGTCCACATGCTTTGTGGGGATCCAGGTTAGAGATGATAGCAGAAAACATGGAAGGGGTTATATGCATATCACTCAACAAAGATTCAGTTCTGTGGGAAGCAAGAGTAGGATCTGAGGAGAATTTATGGGCAAAGCTTTCAGCTTTATCAGCAGAGGATGATAACACCTCAAATCAATTGAAAAGTTGGGGAATAGAGACCTTTCACTTATATAGTACCCTATTACAGAACTGCCAATAATCACAAGAGCCAAAGTTTTTGGAGGCTATGCAGTGCCTCATTGTTTCAGCAAACAGGGACTTAGCTCCCTTGAGGTCTCTCTTACATTTGTTATGGGCAGTAGTAAATAGGCCCCTGTTATGATTAGAGCGGTCATGCTGGTATAGCTGGAAATAGTGCTTCCTGTGAACTATGGCAGCTGAGCATGCTGGTGTGAACCATAGAGAGGATTATGGTTTCATCTGGTATTTCCGAGAAGGGATGAATAGTCACCAAGACTATGAGAGCAATGTAATATAATCATTTTTTATACTAATGTTATAAGAAATTTGAGCTAAATCCTATAATGTTGTAGGGAATCATATTAAGAGACAAAAGAGTCAGAAAGTACAGCATTAGATTACAAAACAGCAGAAAGCATTATGCAGAGAATTTTTTTAACTGCTTGCAAAGATGACAGTATATAATGTGGCTTCAATAAAACCTGACTTGTGTAAAATTAATTCATATGGCAACTCTTTCAACTTAACATTGATTGAAAACAGATTGAGAATTAATTTTACATTGAATTCAACTTGTTTTATGTACATATAAATTAACATGAAATGTAATGATGATGAAGAGTGTCAAACAGTAACTTTATATTACTCTTGATTACAGGATTATCCGAACTAAGAGTGTACATATATAATCTGGAGTGCAGGAAAAAATTCAGTCCAGTAATGAAAGGATTAAAATCTTTTCAGCATCTACCTCATATATGGAGAGAGCAATCAATGCAATGTGAAAATACCTTTGATAAACCATCTTGGCTTCCATTTGTAACAATTATTTTTGTTTGTTCATCACCAGGTGTATCAAGTAATGGAGGATTATGCATATTTTTCTGTAACATCTTCAACCAATCCAAAAGCTCAGGAATTCTAGGGTAAAAATAAAAAAAAAAATCATTACATTGAAAATAAACATTATGAATTTTTAATGTATTTTATGAGATAGAATTTCATTTCAATGCATTTCTTGATTGCAGAGAGAGTCTGATCAAGAAAACCTGGAACTTGATTATAAATGATATTCAGTGTCTTGGTATAATTAAATATTCTTACATACCCTTGAGATTGAGAATATTGCTGAGCACGTCTCATATCTGTACCAGACAGTTTGATAGAAGTGCCATCTCTGAAATAAATTGAATACAATTCCAGTATTTGTATAAAAAACAAAACATTGAATAAAAAAAGAATTACCTGAGTGAATCATCTCAAAATTATAGAATGTATCTTTAATGTCGTTAGCATTTTTACTTTGCAATATTACTTAATCACTTAAATCTTAATGTAAACAAATGACATATTTTCTAAGAAATTTCTTGGACATCTCAGCTAGTAAATGTAGTTAATACTGTTTAGTATAAACAGAGCATTTACTTAAATATTTGTATCTATAAAAATAATGTATAAATAGAAAATATATTAAAATAATTGTCAGACTTAATCCATTTCATAAGGGGCAAAGGGTCCATGTATGCATGCCTTACATTTTTTCCAGGATAAATAATTTTGTGTAATATAAAATTAATTATTGATAATTTTCACTATCCTCTTTGTACTTGTATTTTCTTGTATTTCTTAGGATAATTGTTACAAGCAATATTATTTAGGAAGTGTAAGTAGAGAAAACACTTGTTATTTAGCAAGAAAAGATGCAAGTAAAACCAATGAATTTACTAGTATTGAGCATGAGAGACAGAACATAATAGTGAGTGGGTGAAAGAGACAGTCATCGAAAAGCAGAAATTCTTTTGCTTGTGTTAGAAATGACTGTAGCTTAAGCCTTCCCTGTTTTATTATTTCCTTCAAGCTGGGTGCATGAAAAATAGAGGCAGAATAATAAAGTCATGGTGGTGTTGGTGTGTGTGGGGGGGGTCACACAGAGAAAGCCATCAAAAATCAGAAATTCTTTTGCTTGCTTTCCAGCCATATTAAGCTAGCAGACTCTGTATTGAAGTGATGATGTTTTTTATTGTGTGCAGCTGAAATCAAAAACTTGCCTGTTCAAAGGACTTATTGGATAAGGCAAAACATTTGTATTATTTGGTTCTTAAGAGTATATAAGGAACATTTGATAACTTTAATATCACACCAAAAGTTCTTTTTTTTTTACTGACTTTTAAAAAGTTTTTAATCCATGGAGAGTATTCTTAATGCCTTCTTAAGACCCGGATTCAGTCATGCGACCATTACCCAAAAGGTTTTTGACCAGTTCATATGTGGAGCAAAAAGGAGCAACTGATGAAGTCTATTTTTTCCAATTAAAATGTAAGTTTTCATCCTTTTCAAGGCCTTAAGATTTAATTTTAAAAGTTCAAAATTATTTTTTTAAAGTTATGTAAAAAAATTTCTTGATAATATTGTATATTATTTCATTAAACATGTTAAATTTTGTTAAAGGACATTTTTAAAAACTTCACTGCAATACCTAATTTTAAAATTAAATTAAAAGTATTTAAATTCAAATTTAATGTATTAACGTTGGTGTTATTTTAAAGAATAAAGGTTGAACTTTATCTTAAAAGGACATCTGCATAATTAAAACAATTTAAATGAAAACAATATTAATTTAGTTTACATCAAATTTATGAATTATCACTTTTCCAGTCATAAATCAATGTCATTTTTCTGACATTTGTTGTCAAGCTTATTTAAACATTTTTTAGAAATTAAAATAAAAATGTCTACATCTCATTAAAACAGAAACTGTTAATTTGATAAATTGTGAACAAGATTAAACTAAAATTATTTAGAAGTGTATTTTCTCACATTAAAATTAGTTCACATCACATTCACAGATGGGGGGAGGCTAATAATTTTCCAATGGTGCAGAGAGAGATTTCCCTTCGCCCCATTGGTGATTAGCAAGCATAATGGACTGCATGCCCTGGTTCCCAAGTCACCCTTTACCACTGATATAATCATGTACTGTTACATATAAGTGAGTTTAATGTGTGTGTGTGTGTCTGTGTATATATATATATATATTTCAACAGTAAAAAGTAGTTATATAAGTGAGTTTAGCGTGTGTGTGTGTGTGTGTATATATATATATATATTTCAACAGTAAAAAGTACTGTTATATATGTGGAGAAAAAATTGAAAATCAGTATACAAGAGAAAAATTCAATCAATTTTTACAACTGAATTCAATTTGACTCACTGGAGTTTAAAAGATCCTTCTAACACAGGAAAGAAATTTGCATTAGGCATACCAGTTGCCATTGAAATCATTGTTGGTGGACTCTGCAACAGGATGTTGGCTAAAAGATAAATTTAGACCAAAATTATTTAGGATGAAAAAAGAAATGGACTACATATATATGCACACAGAACTCTTCATTATGTAGGCTCAAAATTAAGTGATACTTCCTCCAGAATTTTATTAATTACTTTAATCAGATCCTACTGCAATATTGCTTTAGCCAATCAAAGCTTGTCATGGGAAATATATATATTTTAACCGCTAAGTTTTTGCTGCACCTAGCTTTTTATGGAATCGCCTTTACTATCTCTAATAATCTCTTCCATGTTGGGTTCATCATCCACCAATAACTACAGTTTGTTCATCTAACCTATGCATGAACTCACCATTAATTCTTGCTGTGACATGACCAAAAACAATAAGTGTAAACTCAATTGTTATTGTTACTACCTTGTTTGCCAACACCTACCCACTATGTTGTGGTTCCTCTCTTAGGGGATTAGGGATCATTCTGTGCATAAAAGACAAAATCTTTGTGTAAAGATATTCAGTGACTGTCACAGACTAGCATATGTCAAACAGTTACTGACAAGACATTGGAATCTACACAGACATGTACTCCTTTATGTAATCACATGGTCAGATATCATCAATACAAACAATCATCAACTGTCTAGAAAATCTGCTTAATGAATTTGTGAGTTCAAATATTTTAAGACATGTTTACTTTTGAACATTCCTCAAAAGCATCTCTTCCTTTTTTAATATAACTACCAATCGAAAGCAGGGAGTTATAGTTTAACTTTCTCACATAAAATTAAGATTAAGTGATAACACCAGAAGAATTTCCTTATTTTAAGTGGATCCTAATGCACCATGGTTTACCATAGTGCATTAGTACTCACTTAAAAGAATACCTTGTCACAAAAATTTCTAACTAATTAGTTTTTGCGTTACCTAGCTTTTCTGGGATCTACTTAATCATTCTAAAAAAATGACCAAGTTCAAATCGTCAGCTGCTTCTTTAAACAACTCACAAACATATTTTTCCCCCCATTGTTTTCAATAATTCCTTTCATGTAGATTTTGTCACCTGAAAACAATATCAGATGGACTCGATCTATGAGTAAAACCCTTTCACTAATTTATTTATAGAATCATACCTAACTCACACATGAACCCTACTGCAAACTCTAGTTGTTATCACATTGACTCAGCCAAAAACAGAACATTCATTTAAATAATAGCAATAAACTTATTTTTTCTCCACTTCTGTTTTCTTACTGAAAAGAATAAAAAAATATAACTAATTTTATAATTGTTCACAATTTCATTTTTAAGCTTTTACACCACTGCACATTCACAAAATTATAAAAATTTGCTAATGACTGACTTTTAATATATTTTTGTAAAATTTGTCTGGAGTTATTAAGGTTAAGAAAGTAAAAAAAAGTAGAAACATAGTTTGTTTTTTTTTAACATTTTAACAATTTTTTAAAAAGCTCATTTTCTGCACAATTAAAAAAGCAAAAAACATTTTTTTTTACTATAAATGATGTAAATTTTGTTTTAAAATTACTTCAAGAGAGTTGTTTCCTATTTTTTCTTATATATATATATATATATATATATATATATACTATGATATGAAATCGAAATTGTTCAACTGTTTCAAGTTTTTCACAATTCAAAATTTTAGCATTCAGTTACAGGAAAAAAAGTAACATAGATGCTTTGTAAATGCTTATAAACTATCCAGAATAAACACTAGAGACTTAGTTTATTTAGTATAGGGTTTAGTCAAATTCAAGGAAAATAAGTTTCTTTTTTTTTTTCAAACCAGCAGATAAACTTCCAATTATTACAATTATATCATCTGGAACATCTGACAAAAAGTTTTTAGAAGAAATCTTAAATAATAACATTGAACAAAGACAATAAGAGAGAGTTTTTGCTAATAAATATTAAAACAAAAATACTTACTCAAAACTCTTGTTGGTGATGGTCGCCTAGCCAAGCTGACTTTATTCAAGAATCGTGCATAATTCATAGTTTTTGTACCTGACAATAAATTACACAGAAATTAAGAATAATTTGAATATGAAATAGCCATTTTGTTTCTCTTGTAAGTTTTATCAATTTAAATACTTTCATATTTTATATAATTAATTAATTGTACTCATTAGATTTAATTAACCAGCTGAACAAAAATAAAGATTACAAAACTGTGCAAAGAACACTTCCTTTAATTGGTTTCTTCTTTTACGTGCCATGTCCCTTCAGGACATGGGCGATCATGGCCTTCCTTGTAGCTCTTAATAAGTTTTGTTTTTTATTTTTCACAGGCTCTGTTCCACTATCCACTTGCTCAAGCCTATTAAGTATGTCATGCATTGCTCTCCCCTGACCCTCTTTCCATCCTATGAGTATCAGATTTTCCAAACCCTCCATCCTCATTACATGTCCCAGAAATTTTAACTGCCTCTTCCTGGTGTTAAGTATAAGTTTCCTCTTTGTTTCCATTCTTTCCAAAACCTTATCATTGCTCACATGTTAAGCTCATGGTATTCTCAGCATTCGTCTGTAGAACCACATTTCTGTTGCTTCAAGTGTCTTCTTCATCTTTAAGATTGTCCAATATTTGCTGCCATACAGGTTGGACAGATATCCCGTAACAGTTCAGTACTCTTTTCTTTGTTTCCAATGAAACTTTCCTGTCTCTTAATACTCTGCTTAGTTTTTGGAATGCATCTTTGGCCATCCCAGTATGTCTTTGGATCTGTGTCACACTTAGCATCCTCTGTTAGAACATTTTCCAGATATTTAAATTTCTGTACCAGTTTGATTTTACTGTAAATTGCATTTTGGGCTCATTTTTTTGCTGATGACCATGCATTTTGTCTTCTTGTAGTTTATGCTTACTTCCTTCTTCTTGCTTTCCTTTGCTATCTTCTGTAGGAGGTTTTGTAATTTCCTTTCTGTGTCTGCTATCAGCACTGAGTCGTCTGCATATCTTATGTTGTTAAGATTGTGGCAGCCAATGATAAATCCTGGTAGGATTTCCAGTTCTCTCAGAATTGCCTTGCCGTATAGATTGAATAAATCTAGTGAGAAGACACATCCTTGCCTTACACCCGTTTCTATTTGTGTATATCTGCTGAACTCATTTTTTATCTGTATGCAGGCAGTTTGCTGCCAGTAAAGATTTTTGATCATTTCAATGTCTTTCCTGTATATGTCAAGGTTACTGAGAAGCTCTAACAGATTTTTATGGTGTACTTTGTCAAACATCTTTGCCTAGCCTATAAAACACAAGTACACATTCTTCTACATTTGTATTGCTCTTTCTGATAACATATTGCATTACTTGTTCCAGTGTCTTTGACAAACCTGCACTATTCTTGTCCTATTTGTCCTGATTCTGCTGCATGCTCTATTCATCAGAATTCAGGTGATGATTTTTATGTGGATCATTAGACTGAATGTTCAATGAAGTTCACATTCATTTGCGCCTGGTTTCTTAGGCAGTGCTTTGAAAACAGACCTGCTTAGACCTTCCGGTATATCATCACTGTTATAGATTTCATTTATTATTTCTGTAATCTTGTCTATGCCGAAATCATCTAAAGCTGCCAGCATCTCTATTACAATTTTGTCTGGCCCTGCCACCCTGTTTCTGTTTAATTTGGCCAGTGCAGCTTCCACTTCCACATTTGTATTTCTGTGTTCTCTTTCATTTCAGTACTGAAGAATTTTTTCTTTCTCTAATACCAGCTTTCCATCCTGGGATTTTATGTAACCTGTTGATGAGCATGTCTTCTGTCCTGTTAGTTATCTTATTTTTTATGCATGTCTCCTTTATCTGTAATACTCATTCTCTCTATTTCTGCACATTTTTCATTGAACCATTCTTCTTTAGCTTACCTGCATTTATTCCTTATTTCATTGTGTAGTTTTTTTTGTGTTCCATTCCATGTCTTGGCATTGTTTTCTGTCTCCTTTGTATCATGTTGAGAATCTCATCTGTGATCCATTTGTTTTTTTTTTCTTCTTCATTTATCCTCCTTTGGGATGATCTTGTTTGCTGATGTCACTAAAGCTTCCCTTAGTGTGTCCCATTTCAAGATGCCATTTCCATTTTGTCCCTTGTATCTTCTTTTCACACTGTCCATATATTTTTCCTTCAGGTTTGGGTCATTCAAGAGTCTGTTGTATTGCAATTTGGGTGCAACGTTAGGCTTCTTCAGTTTCCATAGTTTCAATCATAGTTTACATATAATAGGGAGGTGGTCATTTCTGCAGTCAGCATTTGGATAGGTTTTGCAGTGAACAACTGCATTCTTGAATCATTTGTTAATAGTTCTGTTTACAAGTTGATATTAGCTTAGCTTAGTACAGCATAAGGTTAAAAAAAAAGAAACTGAGAATAGGAAGACTGTTGCATTAATCTTCTAAGTTGAGAAGATCTGCCGGCTTTGAAAGTTAGCATTAAAGATCCTAACCTGTACATCAACCTTTGACACCAATGGGGAAACAAACAAATTATTGAATCATGAGCCATTCATAAAAAAAAAAAAATTCATTAAAAAAAATTCTTTACAAAAATAAATATAAACATACAAATGAATGAAAATATTTTGATTTTTTTTTTTTTACCACTGGTCCTTTTTATTCATCATGTAGTTAAATATTTAAAAATATGAGAACTTAACTATCAATGTCAAAGATTGGGCAAAGTTTAACCTTCAGACCTGCAAAAAAAGAAAAAAAAAAGTTGTTTTACTTTGCATGTTTTGTGATAAAAATATAAATAACTAAAATGTTTTAAAATATGTTCTTCAAAAACACTTAGAACTCTATATTCCACAAGCTTGACAAATAAAAAATATAAACTAATGCTCCTGAAGTATTTTTAATAGAATATTGAAATTATTTTTTCATCGTCTATAAACTTTCACATAGAGAAGATATAACTCAAGTTGTCACTCTTGAATGTTTCGATTGCACCATGATGAATAGATTTATCAAAGAAAAGAATTTAATCCCAATTTTAAAAATAATTTAGGCTTCTTTGAAATCTAATTTTTACAAACTATGTTAATTTAATCAGATTATGATTAAATATGCCTTACTTTTTGCTTTTAACATAATGAAAACAGCATTTTTAAACAGAGGGTTTCTGTTTCTCAAGTGATTGATTAATTTCCACACTTGTCAATATTTCCCAGCTACAACCATGTACACTACAGTTCAAAAGTTTGAGACCACCTCTGGTAAATTTTTAAATTGGCCTCAAAAGTAGTTGTTTTTTACTTTAAGAGAAAATTATTATACATGGTTAAAAAAAAGTGAGATATGTTTTTTATTAGAAGTTTTATTATGACAAAAATAAAAAAAAAATTATGATTAAATTTTGCTCTCATCAAAATATCCTCCTTTAGCCATGATTACTGCAGCACAAATTTTTGGCATTTGTTACAAAAGTTTCTCAAAGTATCAGTTTGATAATTGATTCCATTCATTTTCAATGGCTCTAAGAGCTCTTTTTCATTTTTTTCACTCTTCTGTCAAGTTCATGCTAATTCTGGAGGTGGCTTTTGATATAGGGAAAAACAAAAATGACAATTTTTTTTTTAAATTCTTGTTTATGAGTAACAATTGACAACCATGAGTTACTTTAGGATTTCTTTTGTTTTCTTTGAACAACTATAAACTAAACAGAAATTAAAAAGAAATCAAAAGAATTGACTGAATATTTTTACAAAACAGAATTTTTTTCTTGCCAGTACTTAGAAGTAGAGGTAGTATCAGTCCAAGAAGAAGGAGAAGTTGATGTGGGAGAAGTGGTTGAAATAGAATGGGCCACCATTTCAAATTTTCTTGCAACACATGACAGATCATGGAAATAGAACTGTTTGTAATATCAGGTGTAACAAGCCCTGAACCTGAATTTTGTTACAGGAGGGAAACCATTTTTATCATTCAATAAACCAATCTGCTATTTTCTTTTGAGAAATATCATAATATAGCCACAGAAAGCAGGAGATACACTTTCAACCAGATTATAATGTTTCAAAATGGATTCACATTGTATCTAAAAATTAAAAATAAATTTTATTAAAAATTTTGAAATTAACTTTTCCCCCTAAATTATCAGAAGGGGAAATTATGGTTATACATGTAAGAAAAAAACTACTTAACAAATTAATGTCATTTTTCTCATAAAAATATTGGCCATCCTATATGATCAAAATTTTGAAAAACTTTGTATGCAAAGTTAATTTTATATTCTTTTTTTTTTTGAGTATTTTGGTAAAAAGAAAGAATACAAAGAATTATGAGATAAACTTTTAGAAATCAGAACTTGATAGTAGTAATCATCTTAGAAATAGGTCAGTGTCTTCTGTGTTTTTCTCAGCCTAAGAAGGGCAGAAAATATCATTAGCAAATAACCTGTTAACTACTTTACACATGGCTGGTTTCTCCATCAGTTACATCTTTTGTCCTATGGTTTCTCTTGCTGTACCTTCTACCTGTCTAGCTCAGAGGTATGAGCTTATATCCTTTTGATCCAACTCCCAGATTTTGACATGAACCTTGGTTTCAGCTAACATCAAAAATCTCTTTCTGTTAATTTTTTTGATTGACAAAAATCATTTTAATTTTCCAGCATTCCTTTCTTTTTCATTTTTTCTATGTAACACAAGTTATCCATGGAGCCTGTCTTATTTTGGTAGATTTATAGTTATAAATAAGTTAAGTAGGCTTTGATCATGCAAACTTCCAGTGTTTTTTAGCTGGGTTTTTACTTGAGGGTTGCCTTCTCGTTACTTGAGAGAGAGAGAGAGAGAGAGAGAGATGGAGAGAGAGAGAGAGATAAGGGTTTTAAAGGAAAGCACAGATGCCTTATTTTAATTTGAATTCTTTCTTTTTTTTGTTTATATATATTATTTTTATATTTTATTTAATTTTTATTGGGATTCACTACAAAACAAGAAATTAACAAGAAATTCAAATTTCTCCGATTTTCAAAAGTGTACAAAAATAATT